GAATACTTTGGAACACCTTTCATGACACTGCCATGACCCCAAGCCTCATCTCTCCTCTCTCTCGTAGGCCAGACTTTAGCCTTAGATCTTTCACACTTTTCTTCAGTTCTTCCTTGCCTCCAAACCAAACCAAACTCGACCATTAAGTCAGTTCCTATTGGATTCATAGCGAGCTACAGGACAAGGTAGAACTGTCCCCGTGGGTTTCCAAGACCGTTACCTGTTTACAGGAATAGAGAGCCTCGTTTTTTTCACCCGAGGAGTGGTTGGTGATTTTGAACTGCCGACCTTGCGGATCTCAGCCCAACGCATAGCCACTGTGCCACCAGGGTGCCTTTCTTCCTTGCTTACAGGCTCTCAGACATGTTTTTCCTTCACCTGGACTTCCCCACTGCTTTCACCTGACTAGCTCCTGTTCATCCCTAGGTCTTGTCTGGAAGGCCTTCTCTGACTCCCTCGGACAAGAGGGCAATCCGTGTCCTGCTTGTTGAGTGCCATCGAGTCCATTGCGACCCATAGCGCCCTTATGCACAACAGAACAAAGCACTGCATGATTCTGCCCATCTCCCCATTTTCCCTATGCTTGAACCCGTTGTTGAAGCTACTGTGTCAGTCCATCTCATTGAGCCCCTTCCTCTTTTTTGCCACCCTCTACTTTAGCAGGGACTGGTCTCCTAACATGTCCAAAATATGTAAGACGAAGTCTTGCCATCCTTGCCTCTAGAGAGCACTCTGGCGGTACTTCTTCCTGGACAGATCTGTTTGTTCTCTCAGCAGTCATGGGACTTTCAGTGTTGTTCTCCAGCCCCACAAGTCAAGCGCATCGATTCTTCTTCGAAAATAGCATGGCTTAGGGCAGGCGCACCTTAGTTCTCAAAGTAACATCTTTGCTTTTCAATATTGGAAAGAGGTCTTAACAACAGATGTACCTAATATCACTTGTCTTTTGAGCTCTTGACTGCTTAGTTGTAAGCTGTATACTGAAGTCTGCAGTCCTTGATCTTCATCAGCAAGCTCTTCAACACCGCAACAAGCAGGGTTGTGTCACCTGCATATCGCAGGTTAATGATCCTTCCTGCAATCCTGCTGCTGCGTGTTGCTTCATGTAAGCTAGCTTCTCTGTTTATCCAGCATGCAGACTGAATAAGTGTGGTGAGAGGCTACAGCCCTGCACACCTTTCCTGGTGTTAAACGTGTGGCGCTCCTTTGTTCTGGTCGCACAACTGCCTCTTGATGGTGTTCAAGTTCTGCATGCTCTGGAATTCCTGTTCTTCTCAAAGTTACCCACAGTTTGTTATGATCCACAGCCCAGATCATGCAATTCCCCTTTAATTACATGCAGGAAGCTTAGTTCATTGGCATCCCACCACCCCACACAGTGTTAGCCACTCTGAGGAAGGCCCTCAGCGAGATGGGTGGACACGGCGCTGCAACAGTGGGCTCAGACATAGGAAATGTTGTGAGGACGGCTCGGGACGGACAGTGCTTCCGTCTGTTGTGCACAGGGCTGCTACCGGTGGGACTGATTTAGTGGCACGTAGCAACACCAGCATGAGGGGCATCCTGTTACCTTCTCTCTAGTCTCACAGCTGAGTACCTGACACTCAGCAGTGTCCCGAATCATGGTGTCTGTATCACTGTTTAATAGCTATGGACGCCAAAGGAAAGGGATGTGACGATAAGTTATTTGAGTTTCTAGTTCCTTCATCTGATAACAAAGGAATATCCCACCCTTTCTCTTCATACTTTGTCACATGAGACACTGGACAAGGAGCAGACAGGCTAGTGGAGGACGGTAGTCGGAGACAGTCTTGGAGAAGTCACACAATAGAGGAGGAAGACCCTGAATTCTGGAACCAGGCAGCAGGGCTGACCTCTGTGCCACTTCTCCTGCTTCAGGATAAAGTATACCATATATACTCTTCTCTCTGCTGGTTTTTGCCACATTTTTAATGCCATTTTTGTGGTAAAATTAGGTGCCTCGGCTGATACTCGTGTCGGCTTATACTCGAGTATGTACAGTATTGAAACTCTCCTGGCCCCACCTGATTTTTTCATCTCCCGATTAAGAATAACACCATTTCTCCCAGGGCCGTGAGGACCAAATGTAGACTGGTTAATGCCTAGGACAGGGCTTACATCTGCACCGGTACCGCTCCTCACAAGCACAGTGCAGGCCCAGGGCAGGCCCGGTGCTCTTCCGCATCCTGCTCTAGAAAACAAGTTTCTTCCATCTTCACTTTCCTTTTCCTGCTTTCTTGTTGTTTTGCAAATTCTGAAAATATATTGTGGGGAAGCCTGCTGGCTGTCTGGAAAAACAGCGGGGGAGAGAAGGTACTTCACACATGCCTCAGTGGGTTGCTGGTCTTTGTCCTGGAAGCGGGCCTTGTTTAAGAACAGTTCCCAGTGGTTGGCCTGAGGATCAAGAAACCAGCTCAGGGAAGCCCCAGCCCAGAGTTCAAGGACACTTGGGAAGCTCAGTTCTCAGTGCCTTTCTCTCCCCGCAGGCGGTCAGATGGACACCACGGCTCCTACCTCCTCAGCTCCCTGGCTCAGCTGCCGTCCCAGCTATGGCGGCACCTCCTCCGAGCTCCCCAAGCACCCCGACCTCCCAGCCGAAGCCCCCTCTCTGCCTGGCACTGGATTGGGGGAGTACTTCTGAGCCCTGTGGTGCTAAGGAAGTGCCCCCGCCTTTGCCTTGTGGCTCATTGTGAGGCAGAAGAGGCCCCTCCTCCCCACGGCAGGCCCCGAGTGGAGGAGTCCTGCTTTAACTGGAAGCTCTTCTGGCAGTTCCTGCGGCCCCACTTGCTTCTCCTGGGGGCAGCCATTGTGGTAAGGTTTTTCCCCTTCTGTTCCCATGGCCAGGGGCAGGGAACATACCAGGAAGTGGTTTATAGAACCCTCACATCAAAGCAGGACAGAGACACCATCCGAACCTCCCCGAGTCTCCCAGGGGAGAGCTCCTGGGCGCAGCATGGCTGCGTCTATCCTGGGAGCCTGGGATCTACACGGTGTGGTTGGGTTTGCAGGGTCTAAGGAGTCCCCGGGGCTGCAAGTGTGGGGTTCAACTCTCAAGGAGCTATCGAGTTCAGAGGAGTGGCCTGGCCAAAGCTGACCCCTAGGGCTAGAAAGGCCAGGGCCTGTGTCTGGCTCCCCTTCTGCATTTCAGTCCGGCCCCTCTGCCCCATCAGCTGGCATTGGGAGCAGCCCTGGTGAACGTGCAGATCCCCCTGCTCCTGGGCCAGTTGGTTGAAATTGTGGCCAAGTACACCAGGGAGCGTGTCGGGAGTTTCATTACGGAGTCCCGGAACCTCAGCGTCCGCCTGCTGCTTCTCTATGGCGTTCAGGTACACAGGGGCCTGGGGCACCCAGAGGACTTGGGAATTGGGGCCTGAGTATGCTGGCCACCCCAGGACTGCCGACTTCCGGTTACTTTGGAGGAAGGGCCTAAGCACGCTGGCCTCCCTAGGGGCTGCTGACCTTCGGGTACCTGGTGCTGCTGTCCCAAATTGGTGAGCGGATGGCCGTGGACATGCGGAGGACCCTCTTCAGCACCCTGCTCCAGTATGTCTGCTTCAGGTTAAAGGGCAGGTGGGAGATCCCCAAAGGGGACAGGGTGAGTGTTCTTGGGCCTCACACCACGTTAACAGTTCCCTTTCCCCCTGACTTCTGTCCCACTGTCCCATTGCCAGACAAGACATTGCTTTCTTCGATGCTAAAAAGACAGGGCAGCTGATGAGCCGGTTGACAACTGATGTGCAGGAATTTAAATCATCCTTCAAACTTGTCATCTCCCAGGTCAGTGGCTGCAGTATATCTCCCCCTGCCTCACATTCCCCATCCAACTCTCCCACAGCACAGCCCTCAGCCTCAGCAGGCCATCCCTGCACTCCAGTGAGGGTATAGGAGGAGATGAGGAAGTTGGTGGAAGGGAGCATCCAAGATCAGTCCCTTCACTGTTCTGAAAACCGTGCCTCCCCCAGAAAAGCTTTTAGGGCTCAGCTTGCCAAGAGCAGCAACGCTTTGACCTGCCTCGCCCCGGCATGCCTGGCTCCCTGACAAGTACTGAGACGGACTGTGGCTTTTGCTGCACTGCTGGTGTCCTCTCTCTCTTCATCTCCCCCTGACCTCTGGTTGCTGGCAGATAATGTCAGATCCTGGCCTACAGGATTTCTAGAACAGAAGGAAAAGCAAACTGGAGTGTTTGCAGGGGAGAATGCCACCCTTTTAGCCCCCACTTCCACACATGGCTGCAGTTTAAATGCAGGATCCACCACCATCTAGTCACTACTTCTGTCTGCTCATCTTACCCTCATGGGGTCAAGAGCAGTTCCATCGGTGACCAGTAGGTGGCCACTCAGTCTCCCAGACCTCACACTGGTGACCTCGGCCTTGTGAGTTCAGAGCTGTAGCCTGAAGATGAAGCCTCCTAGGTGGTGGTGTTGATGCCAGATCACCACCTCTCTCTCCCTCCCCACTTCTCTAGGGACTTCGGAGCTGCACTCAGATGGCCGGGTGCCTGGTGTCCCTGTCCATGCTGTCCACACGCCTCACACTGATACTAATGGTGGCTACCCCCACCCTGATGGGAGTCGGCACCCTGATGGGCTCTGCTCTCCGTAAATTGTCTCGCCAGTCTCAGGAGCAGGTACCAGAATGTTTACCCACATGCCCCACCTCTGCATTTAACTACCCTGTCCTCTCGGTCAGCCCTCTGTCCCGGAACCGGCTTCCTTACTTCCTGGACTCCTTGCAGATCGCCAAGGCAGCGGGTGTAGCAGATGAGGCGCTGGGTAATGTCCGCACTGTGAGAGCCTTCGCCATGGAGCACCGGGAAGAGGAGTGAGGCTTGGGGAAGGGGTAGGGCACAGACAGGCACTTCCCCACCCCACCCCACCTTCCAAACCGCAGCCGCTCCTACGTCCTCAGCCTGGCCCTCTCTCACCAGGCGCTATGAAGCAGAGCTGGAGGGGTCCCGCTGGAAGGCAGAGGAGCTGGGCAGAGGCATCGCCTTATTCCAAGGCCTTTCTAACATTGCTTTCAACTGTGAGTGGGCACGTCCCAGCCTGGGCGGTCGCTAGTTGATGGGGAAGAAGGAGTACAAGTTTATGGTTTAGGGGCCAGTGCGGGGAGGTCAATGAAAGGCGGTCCCAACAAAGCAAACCAGGGACACACTGCCTCTAGTTGATGTTCTTCAGGGACTTCACTTGACTCATATTAAGAGACAGTACTGTGCAGCTGGCTAAGGTGCTAACTGAGCCAAGTAGGGGGGAAGCAGGAGGTTACATGTTTAAACTGTGTCTCTGAGCAAGAAGCCATGGAGATTTTTGGTTGTGTTTCATTTGTGTTTTATTGTGGTAAACGTATACGTAAGGAAGCACTTGCCATTCAACCATGAGGACACGTAGTTGAGTGTTAGTTGTGTTCAGCATAACCAGACCTGTTCCCAGATGTTCCCCTCACTCGTAACAGAAGCTCATGGTTGTCTGTTTCAGGGTACAAAATATAATTGGAGGAGATCATTTATTAAGTCATACAAACAATAGACATGTCATATGGTTGAGGGAGGCCATTAGCACGAGGTCAAGGTGGCCTCTGATGAGTCACTCAGGACACTCGTTAAATAGAGCATGGAATGAAGGAAACCCACAGATTGATGATTCGGGGCAGATTAATACATCATAGGGATGGGTGGGAGCAGAGAAGCAGGAACAGGACCGTGCACACTGGGACGCAGACATTTTTGGATAGAAGGACTTACACAATTGGTCCAGGACCGTCTGACCAAGGCCGCCGGGGCACAGCTGATAAGGCATGAGTCATGACTATGTGGCTCGCTGTAGTGTCTCTCAAGGACATACCCGGCAAGCCCCTAGGAGAGAGGGGCTGGCTGGAGAGGGGTGAGGTCATCTGCTTTTGGAGGCGCTCTTCCTGAGGGCAACATCCACATCCTGGTTAGTGATCGGAAGGAATTCAGTGGAGGCTCAATCTGTGCTGACCCTGCAAATGGATTTGGACTGTCACAGCCGCCCATCCACAGCCTTCTGCAAACTGGGTGCTCAGCACTGAAGTTCTAATACACGTCTAAGCACTGAGTGCCCCTTTCCCCCTCCCCGTACCTGGCCTTGGTAGACATTAATAAACTCCCACACTGCATACACTTGCCTGTTCTGAATATGTTTGTAACGTGTATCAGGACATAATTTCTCTTGAGGGCTCAGTTGTCGTCACTGTATGTACGTGCCACATTTTATGTGTGCATTCCTCTATTGATTGGCGCGTAGGCTGCTTCCCTGTTGGCTATTGTGAGCAGTGCTTCAGTGAACATAGATGTATAGCTTTATGTGAGCTCTGTTTGGGATATAGTCCTGGTGGTACATCGGGAGCTTATATGGGAATTCTATGTTTCATTGTTTGAGGAGCTGTTTTCCACAGCAGCTGGGCCATTTTACAACTTCCACCTACACCACCACCCCCCACCTCCTCACCAACACCTCTTGTCTGTTTTTTAAAATCATACCTATTCTAGGAGGAGCAGCCCTGGTAGCAAAGTAGATTGTACATCAGGCTGCGAACCACAAGGTCATCAGTTTGAAACCACCAGCTACTCTATGGAGAAAGAGAGACCCTACATTCCTGCAGAAATTTGTAAAAACCAAAAGCCAAACTCATTGCCATCGAGATGATTCCAACTCATCGTGACCCTGAAGGACAGGGTCGAGCTGCCCCTGTGGGTTTGCGGGAGTAGAAAACCTCATCTTTCTCTCTCAAAGCAGCTGGTGGTTTCACACTGCTGCGCTTGCGGTGAGCAGGCGATGCGTAACCACTCCCCCGCCGGGGCTCCTTTAGAGCTTGACAGCCCTGAGACCCACTGGGACAGTTCTGTTAGGTCGCGAAGGGTCTCGGTGAGTCAGACTTCACTTGATGGCCGTGGGTTTGAGTTATCTCTGCGGATGGCAAAAGGAGTCCCGGTAGCTCAATGCATTGTGCTTAGGGCTGCTAACCCCAAGGTCATCTATTGGAGACCCCGAGCTTCTCCAAGTGACACTTTCTGTCCCCCTAGAGCTTGACCTTCTCAAAAATCCTCAGGGGCACTTCCGCTCTGCCCTGTGGATCCCTGTGAGTCAGAACCGACTTGGTGGGAGGGAAGGAGTGAGGGGCAGGGAGGGGGGGTGAGTGGGCTCCAGAGGGTCGCAGTGAATCAGAAGCGATTCGATGGCAGTGAGGGCATGGGGACCCTCTTGTCACATACTTTGGATGTGTCGTCCGAAGAGACCAGTCCTTAGAGAAGGGCACCACTCGTGGCCAAGTGAAGGGCCGGCACAAAAAAAGAGGAAGGCCCTCAACCAGAAGGGTTTGTAGCAGCCCTGGGCTCAAACACAAAGACTAGGAGGAAGTGAGCACAGCCCAGGCACACGCAGCGGTGGGTTCTGTGGTGCACCAGGTTGCTCTGCCTTGGGCCTGGCTTGGTGGTACCTAACCACCACCACAGAGCGGAAGCCCTGGTGGCATGGTGGTTACACCTTTGACCGCTCACCTCAAGGTCAGCAGTTTCAACCCACCAGCAGCTGTGCAGGAGAAAGATGAGGCTCCCTGCCCCTCTTGACATTTACAGCCTCAAACCCCCCACCCCCCACCCCCAGGAGCAGTAAATCTGACTGGACTTGCTGGCAGTGAGTCTGGAGAGCTTTGCTGTGGGGAGTGGGGGAGCATCTCAGCTTCCTTTTCAGAGTCTACTTTGTAAACCATCTAGAAGCCCAGCTCACTTTTGTGTATTGATCTTGTACCCTGCCACTTGGCTGACTTCCCTTATGACCTCTAGTAGCTTTCTGTGGTCTCGGCGAGGTCATCCTCATGGAGGATCATGCCTGCTGATAAAGGGACACATTGTACTTCTTGCTTCCCTATTGGATGCCTTTTATTTCTTTGTCTTGCCTCATTGCTCTAGCTCGAGCTTCCCCTACAGCCCTGCGGAGCAGGGTGAGAGCAGACAGCGTGTCTGGTGCCTGACCTGAAGGCGAAAGTGCTTGGTCTTGGTCCATTGAGTATGGTGTTGCCTGTGAGCTTCTCGTAAACGGCCCTTCCCATTTTTTGTTTTTGTTTTTAACTCATTTTATTGGGGGCTTGTACAACTCTTTCACGATCTACACATACATCCATTGTGTCAAGCACGCCTGTACATTGGTTTCCCTCATCATTCTCAAAACATTTGCTTTCAACTTAAGCCCCTGGCATCCGCTCCTCATTCTTTCCCCAATGGCCTTTCCCTTTTTAAGGAATGCCTCCTCTATTACTAAATTATTGAGTGTTTGTAGCATGAAAGGATGTTGCTTTTTTTAAAAAAATAATTGTATTGGGGGTCGTACAACTCTTACCACAATCCATACTTACACCCATTGTGTCAAGCACATTTATACATTTATTGCCATCATCATTCTCAAAACATTTGCTTTCTACTTGAGCCCTTGGTATCAGCTCCTCATTTTTTCCCCTCCCTCCCTTACAAATACTTGATAATTTATAAAATTTTTTTTTCATGTCTTACACTGTCTAATGTCTCCCTTCGCCCACCTTTCTGTTGTCTGCCCCTCAGGGAGGGGGTTATGTCATTGGGATCAGTTCCCCTTTCTACCCCACCTTCTCCTTACCCTTTTGGTATCTCTACTCTCATTATTGTTCCTGAGGGGTTTATCTGTCCTGGAGTCCCTGTTTCCAGCTGTGAACGATGTTGCTTTTTATCAAAAACCCTTCAACTGGGTGAGGAAGGAAACAGGTGGGGCATAATGGGTACTAGCACTCAGGAATAACACCGAGTCAGGCCTCTGCTCTTGGCTCCGGGCTGTTTCCCTTCTAACCCTTAACCTCTCTGTCTTCTTCCTCATGCAGGCATGGTCTTGGGCACCTTGTTTATAGGGGGCTCCCTCGTGGCTGGACAGCAGCTGACAGGGGGGGACCTTATGTCCTTCCTGGTGGCCTCCCAGACAGTGCAGAGGTGAGTGTGGAGCCATTTCCATTCCAAAAGAGCCCCTGCCACCCTCCAGAGCCCTGCTGGGCAGGGAACCAAGTGCCAGCCCACTGGTTCAGGCCTACCACACAGTCCCAGGCCTGCCCTACTCCCCTGGTGAGGCTCGGGGCTGGGAGTCAGAGCCTTGTGTCTCACAAGAGCCCCTCAAAGGTCATTAGAATCCCCCCAAGTTATTCACTGAATAAATAGTTGGAAATGAGGCTAGTTTCCATCTCCCAAACAACACAGATTTTTCCTGACCTGTTTTTTTAAGAGCTGGCCAACCATCCTCCTCTTGGCCTTCTCCAAGCGTAAGAAGCTGACCCCTTGTCCTGTGCACATTCCACCCTCAGCGCTGGTTGGGTTACACTGATCTGAAGTTTGCCTGCTCTTCTGGACCCTAGCCTCCTTTTTCTGAACTAAGGACTAGCAGTTCCTTTTTACTTTCTCTTTCCCAAACATACCATATATATTAAAAGGCTGAAAATCTTATGATAAATGTAGTATGAAGGCTTTAGTTACTGCCAACCGTGTTTTAAAAACACACACACAAAACCCAACAGCAACAAAACACAAGGTTACCCTCAGCCCGATCTCAGTCACCCTCTGGCTCTTCCCCTGAAGGCAGCCACTGCCTTGCTCTCTGTGGCCATCCCATCCTGGCTGTCAAGTCTGTCTACTATCTGACCACCTGTGCCTGGTCACCGTCCAGCAGCTAGTCATTGTCCCTCTGGAGAAATTTCCATTCTTACCCCGACAGACAAATTCCCTTTTTGGACCTTAAACTCAGCAGTCCACCGGAGCCCACCCTGACAGCATCCTAGCCCTCGTTTCTGCCTCGTGTTCCCCAGTCATGAGGCGTTCAGACTACCCCTGATCCTGGGCAATCCCACCCCTCTTCCCACCAGAAGCGCTGTTTCCAGGTGACCCTGGCATGCAGAGGTTCCAGTTGCCATAGAGATGGAGTGTGGAGTGTCCCTCTGCAGCCCTTGCCCCTTCAGTGCCCCTCCAGAGTGTGTGTCTGTGAGGTTGAGCTTCAGCCTCTGGGATCAGCATTCCAGTCTTGAGGACCCAAAAGAAATGCGCTGTTGTGTACCTTCATGTCGATGCTGACGGAGAGCAGCCCAAAAGGACAAAGCCACACTGCCCCCTAGGGCCTCTGCGGCCAAGGCTTTCCTCTAGGACCCTGGTGGCATCACGATTTGGAGGCGTGCCCAGGATCAGCCCACAAGTCAGCAACTTGAAACCACCAGCCACTTCTCAGGAGAAAGGAGGGGCTCTCTACTCCATACAGCAGTCTCAGAAACGCCCGGCGGTTCTGCCCTGCCCTGCCTTGGGGCTGAGTCGGCGTCACCACTGGACCCCCAAGGCTCTTGGGAATACCCACGGGCACCCTTAACAAAAGTCCCGGGGCCCTCACGTTGGACAGTGGGGAGATTCTCTCGTGACAGAGAGAGAGAGTGTGTGTGTGTGGGTCTGTGTGTCCCCGCACACCCTAGTGCTGACTCCTATCCACCTTCCCTAGGGACCTCAGGGTCAGCTGCCCCCATCGCTTCCCCTTCTGGCTTAGCCCAGGCCTGAGAACAGACTTTGTCCTCACTTCCCCCCTGTACTGCTTGGCCATGGAACAGGAGTTGGTGATGGATGCAAGTCCAGCCCGTACAGGTAGTCTGCATGGTCTCTCCGGCTGCTAGAGGTGGTAGCTCCCACAGCCCGAGGTCCAGTCGTTTCCTTTTGGTGGCCCCTCCCGACTGTCACAGCCCCGGGACCCGGAACCCTTATCACCACACTGAGAGGCTTCAACACTTGGAGAAATTGGGTCTATTGGGTCTGTTTTCTTAATGGGTGCTGCCAGTTCTCCCCAACCACACAAAACAACACTGCTCTCCAGTCAAGTTCAAGCTCACAGGGACCCTGTAGGATGGAGCAGAACTGCCCCATAGGGTTTCCAAGGCCGTCAGTCTTTATGGAGGGTGCCTGCCACATCTTTCTGCAGAGGAACGCCGGTGCCGCCGGTCTGTCCCTCCTAAGTGGTATTTTTCCGGTACCAGAGGGAAGTGCCGCACAGAACAGTCACTACAACAGCCCCTTTAGAAGTAGACCTGGGCACCACCCTGAGGACGGGGCTGCTCCTGCTAGAACCTGGTTCCCTCGGCCAGCTTCCTGCAGCCATGCTCTGGCCCGCAGCCAAGGGACTCTGGAGCAAGGTCACTTCCACCCTCGTGAGTCATGTGCATTTTGGTTTTCAGTTGCTGCCAGGCACCTTGACAAGGCTCCTAATGGCCCCAGAGCCCTTGTGGAGAATTCCCCCCTTCTAACCCACAGATAACTCAGGACTGGCTCTGCTTCGCTCCATGCCTCCCCTTCCCCGTGGCCAATGCTGGGTCTTGCGAGTTGCCAGAGACAGTTTTTGTGTGGTTTTGTGACTCTTCCCACCCGACCCCACCCTGGTCGTGGAAGAAATGAGTCCTGCTCTGCAAGATGGCCGTGGAGTCAGGCTTTCCTCTTCAGGAGAAGACCCTGGATGTGGGGCACACATGGTCACATGCACACATGCTGTCACCAGCCAGCCAAACCGCTCAGGGATTGTGACTCATCCTTCTGTAGCCTCAGGCAGCCAAGTACCCTCTCCCACCCTGTCTAGACAGATAAACACACACACCCCGTTCCGTACCCAGGCACCCTCCTGCAGGGTGACCATCAGGGCATTGTGGTTCTGCATCCTCTGGCCAGGATTGTGTGAACACTCCCCTGGAGGCCCTGGCCCTTAACCCCACACCCACCCTCCCACGGGAGCCTCTGCCCTGACCTGAAGTAGAGGAACGAGGTCAATTTTGCCTGGCCAAGGAGAGAGCCAGGGCTCAGAAGAGAGAAGGGGCTTGCTCAGTCCATCAGTCCTTGCCAGGGGAGAACTCGGTGTTGACTGCACGCCACCCGCTTCCTTGCCTCACCCAACAAGTCCACCCACCTCAATGGTGGCCAAAGCTTACCTGCAGCGCTGGCCTGGCCTCTTGCTTCCACTTTAGCCCCACGCTCTCTTTCTTTCAGGTCCATGGCCAACCTCTCTGTTCTGTTTGGCCAGGTGAGTAGGCAGTCATTGGGAGGTGGGGGTGGGAGGGTGGGGGGCTCCAGGGGTGGATACTGGTCTGGGCTGGAGTTCAAGAACTATCAAAATGATTTGAATATTGCCCTTCTTGCCCATTGGCTGGTTGTCAGGAAAGGGGATGCTGGGAATACCTGAGCCACAGACTGCAGCAAACATGGGATCCCTTTCACTACTGGCCCTGCTGGAGGTGGAGGGGTGGGGGTTTGCTGTTCAAGAGATGCTTCTGCTGGTCGTGGCTTCCCATCTCCCTTTCCCAGCGCACCCCCTACCCCCTTCCCTTCGCTCCGTGAACCTCCCCCAAATTGCTAGACTTCCCACACCTCCCCTGCCTCATTTGCAACTTCCCATTCCTCGCAGGTGGTACGGGGACTCAGCGCAGGGGCTCGGGCCTTTGAGTACATGACTCTGAGTCCCAGCATCCCGTTGTCGGGGGGCTTCTGCATCCCCAAAGAGGACCTCCTTGGAGCCGTCACATTTCAGAACGTCCGCTTCAGGTCAGCACTCAAGCAGGCCGGACCCGTGACCGATCCTTGTGGGCTGTGGCCCGGGTCTTGCTTGAACTCCTCCCTGTAAATCAGCCCTCGAAAGAGCAGAGTGCGCCTAAGGGGAACCCAGGCAGGGCCTGGCTTGTGGTGAGCTGCCCCCGTGGTGCTGCGGAGTCTAGGGCAAGGCGAGCAGGGACCTTGGAGCCTGGTCTGACTTGAGTCTCTTGGCTTCTCTGCAGTTACCCCTGCCGCCCTGGCTTTGAAGTGCTCAAAGACTTCACGCTGACACTGCCCCCTGGCACAGTTGTGGCCCTGGTGGGCCAGTCTGGCGGAGGTAAGAAAACCCAGTACGTGCCGCCGCCACCCTGCCTCCTACTCTAGTGACCTTCCCCCCCATATCCTCAGGAGCACCCTGACCCTCCCGAAAGCACTTTCTACTTCCATCGCAGGTTCCTGCCCTAGAGCAACCCATAGAAACCCCCATAGACCCTGTCTCCCCCAGCCACCCCCGACTCCCCAGGAAAGACCACCATGCAACCCGCAGAAACCCCTGCAGACCCTGTCTCCATCACTCCCTCCCGACTCCTCAGGAAAGACCACCGTGGCCTCCCTGCTGGAGCGCTTCTACGACCCCACTGCCGGGGCGGTGCTGCTAGACGGGCGTGACCTCCGCACCCTTGACCCCTCCTGCCTCCGGGGCCAGGTCATCGGCTTCATCAGCCAAGTGAGTAGCTCCCCCACCTGCCCACCGACTCCCATCAGCAGGGTGGCTCCCCACCAAAGGAGGTGCCAGGACACAAGGGTCTGCCTCCCCACAGCTGGCAAGGTTGCCTGGGAGAGGCCTGCACCCTTTGTCACTGCTCCCGTCAGCCTGGGTCTGAGGCCCGGCCGTCCCAGGACAGCTGTGGCTCTGCCTTCCTCCCTGACAGGAAACAGCTGAGGAGGTGGGACAGTATCTTTAGGTGTGACTAGCTCATTGGGGTCCCTGAAGTTCTCTAAGGAACTTAAGGTGTCCAGGTTTGGAGAAGCCGTGCTCTGGGAACTGGTCGTGGCCACCTTTCACCTCACTAAAAGGACTTGAGGCCCTGCCCTGAGATCACAGGCTGTGGCTGGTTTACTGTTGTTTCCTTCTTTTCAGTGAACTCTTCCTGTAGCCACAGGTCCGAGCCCCCAGTGAGGAAGAGAAAGCCCAGGTGCCACCCCTCCTGTCCTCTCCCCTCCTCTCTCCAGGCCAGCACCCGCTGTCCCAGCCATCTCCCCTACCTGCCCCAGGGGCTGTGCTGGGTGCCAGATCAGGAAGCACTTACGTACATTTCCAGAGGTCCGGCCCCAACCTTCATCTCTTGAGTTTCTGCCTGCTGCCCCTCACTGGCGCCAGGTGGCCCTCATCTGACTGAGGAGCCCGGCAGTCCCTTGGGGACTCCAGGCAGAGCCTGGATGTTTCCTGCTGACCTCCCTCTTCCCCGCCCCAGGAGCCAGTGCTGTTCGGAACCACCATCATGGAGAATATCCGCTTCGGGAAGCTGGACGCCTCGGATGCAGAAGTGTATGCAGCTGCCCGGGAGGCCAATGCCCACAACTTCATCACCAGCTTCCCCGAGGGCTATGACACCATTGTGGGTGAGCTCCAGGGTGTACTCTGTTCGGTCCCAGGGTGTGGCATTGTGGGACAGAGTGAGGCGGGAAGCGCCGGGGAGGAAGACAGTTGCTACAGCAGACCAGGTGAGATAAGAGCTATGGGCCACGAGCAACAGTTGGTGAGACTGGAGTCGGAGCCCATTGGCGCCCACGATGGAAGGACCAAGCAGGCTGCAAAGACAGGAAGGCTTATTTATTTATTTTAACCAGGAAAACAATTAGCAAAGTTTTATTTGCTCATTTTTTGCATTGGAGTGTTCTCCAATACATCCTTGGCTTGAGATTCTTTGTCATGGTCCTTAACAGCCACACAACTGCAACCAACCACTTTCTGGGGTGTTCCTTCTCTGTCACTTGGGCAGAGGCCTGCCCACTCCCCTGCTTCCTTCTTGTCATCCACCTTAGTGCAGTCAATGTGGTGTTCAGCACACACACTTGACATAACACGGCTCGTCACACTTGAATGCAGGCACAGAGATGGGCGTGGCGCTTGTCTAAGGCTCTACAGCTTCGAGAATCCCACGGGCTCGGCCCTCGTGGAGGAGGGCGGTCCTGGTAAAGCAGTGTCAACCTCCACTCCACCTCCAGCAGCAGTGGCTTCCCGGCCGTGGTGGTGGTGGTGGTGGTGACAGTGACGGCAGGGGCCAAATCTGAGCGCACCGAGCCTCCACCTCTGCACAGCTGGCGGGGGGGCGACGAGCAAGACAGGAAGACTCGAAAAAACTCTAAAAGGAGTCTGGCCGTGGGCCTGACCCCAGATACCAGGCATCATGGTATCAAGACTCTTCAAAGAGCCCAACAGAGGACCTCCGTGAACCGAAGAGAAGGAAGTGAAGGGCTCCTCCTTGCGGTTTTCCCCTCCTGGCTCCTGCTTCATATCTGTTCTTGGCTCTTTGAGTGTAGAGGTATAACCTCCCGGGAGACTCGGGACGGGTTTGGTAGAACTGGTCGCTCTTCTGATTACCGCCGTGCTGGAGCCTTGCAGTGCCAGAGGATCACACTGTGGAAACTTTGTCTTCCAGCCAGTAGCTTTGGGTTATCAGGAGATAGCTTTTTTTCCCCCTTTCAAACTTGGGCTCTGTTTATCATGGCGTGTTTCATGACTTTGCTGCAGAAGGTTCCAGTGCATCTCCAGACACAGGAATATGTCCACCATGCTCGATGCTTGAGCCTTGTTTTTTCTTCAGTTTCCCTCCACCTCTGCCTTCCCAGGTCTCCTGCCACTCAGCGTTAGCCCATCCTCAGATGCTGGGCTCGTAATCTCATCTCGTGACACTGTTTGTCTGGACGCTAACACCAGCCCCTTTGCTGATCGTGATCGCTCTATGTCATCTAGAGTCATTTTCTCTCTGCCAGCTTGTCACCGCTGCTCGTCTACGTGGGTGTTTCACATCCTAAGTCTGGCCTTCCCAGAGTGCCCAAGCGATGACTTCTCATTCTACCACGGCCTGGCTCCTTTCTAACAGACCAGGACCAGGCCTTGACTATGCACCCAGCAGCAGAGCCTGGGAGGCCCGAGGCAGCTGGAGCTCTTGGGACTCCAGTGGGACTGCTCATAGCTCCTAGGCTCTTTCTCGGGGTGGGGAGGGGAACTCTGAATCATTCAGTGAGTGCTTGTTGTGAGCATGGCTGCAGGCCACACTGAGCACATGGCTCAGACAGAGCCTCACCCCGAGAACTCCTGGCCCAGCTAGAGGGCGGGAGGGGGGGCGGGCTGAGTGGCCAAGCTCAGGAGGACACGGTACTCCTTTGCAGAGCACACAGTCCAGGCAGACCAAGACTCAATCCAGGCCCTGCCCTTTTCCTTCCCAGGTGAGCGGGGCGCCACTCTGTCTGGTGGCCAGAAGCAGCGCCTGGCCATTGCCCGAGCCCTCATCAAACAACCCAGAGTGCTGATCATGGATGAGGCCACCAGTGCCCTGGACACGGAATCCGAGCAGGTCGTGCAGGAAGCCCTGGACCGGGCCAGCACGGGGCGTACAGTGCTGGTCATCGCCCACCGGCTCAGCACTGTGCGCAGGGCCCACCACATCGTCGTCATGGCTGACGGCCGGGTCTGGGAGGTCAGTCTGGGGTGGGGGTTGGCTGGCAAGTTGAGCCATGCACAGGGAAATGGGTACCTTGCAGAGCTGAGCAGGGGGCAGGGGGGTCTGGGCTGGCCCTTGGGGCTGGGGCTGTATTCTGGAAGTGGCTCCCATGTGCTTTCAGAAGCCTCCGCTCCCTTGCAGAGAGCACCGATTCCATCTGCTTGCAGGATATAAAAAGATGCAATGACGTGGAAGGCCTTGGGGGCCAGGCTGGCATCCAGGGTGTGAGGGATGGACCAGGCAGCAGTGGAGACCCTTTCAGGCTGGTCTGCAGCAGGGCACAGAGGCTGCATAAGGCTCAGCATTGGCTCCCAGCCCAGCCAGTCCATCAAGGCAAAGATCAGAGGGGTTATGTTAGAGCAGTGGTTCTCCACCTTCCTTGTGCCGCGACCCTTTCATACAGACCCCCCCCAAACATAAGATAATTTCCTAGCTGTAATTTTGACACTGTTATGAATCGTTTGACCCCCAAAGGGGTCTCGACCCACAGGTTGAGAACCACTGTGTTAGTCTTAGGAAGTGTGTGGGTCTTAAAGAGACTATGAGGTTCAGAGTTTTAAGTCTTTGGGCTCTGTACAGGAGGAATCAAACGGCCTTCCAAAGTGCAGTGAGACGGGAGGTGGGAGGAACAAAGGAAGTGCACGGATTGCATGGTATGCCCTCGGGGGGAACACCCCCTCACCCTGCGTGTTGATGAGTCCTGGGTTGAGAAGCTATACATGCCCACTAGGGCTCTTGACTCTAGGCTGGGGCTCGGTAGGGGTGACCTGCTGCCCCTTTTCTTCCAGTCCGGGACCCACGAAGAGCTGCTAAAGAAACAAGGACTCTATGCTGAGCTGATCCGAAGGCAGGCCCTGGACTCTCCTCTGACGTCTACACCACCCCTGAGGGTGCGCAAAGGTCACAGGAACCTGTAGGCTTAAGGACAGTTGGCAGCCAGCGGCAGTCTTGACGACAGAGCAGCAGAAATGGCAGCTGAGGCCAACAGAGGGACTGAGTCCCAGCGCAGTGCACTCCACTGCTACCAATAAACACCTGACGGGGAGCTGGGCTGGGCAGCGATTGGGACACTCCCATCGCACCCACTCCCCTCCTGCTGGCAGGCTTCTTCCTCCCATCCCGAGCCCTGGGCATCATTGCATTGATGCAGCGGGATACAGTCAGAGATCTGCTGAGTTTCCCAGGATCCTGGTCTGGTCCCTCCCTTCTCTGCCCTTGCCCACACCCTCCACAACCCCTCTCAGCAACACTGCTGAGCTTCCTCCCTCTATCTGTCAGGCTAAAGGTACCAGGCCCCAGCTCCCGAGAATATGTCAAGGTCTGGGTCTTGGAGTGGGTGTGAGCAATCAGACCTGAGGTTTTCTATACGCACAAGTCTGCCTGGCCCAGATCGCATCGTCCTGGACTTACGAGGGACTGGCTGCCAGACACCCTCCTCACCAGCACACACCTCCCCTCCTCCCTTCTTTAGCACATCCTACAATTCCTTTTCCTCCCTCCCACTAGGCTACCTCAATCTTTCCCTCCCCAAGTGGACAGTGGGTCCAGCACTGCCTGGCCCTTTGCTGGGTTGGGGTTGGAGTGCCCGAGCCCCATTACTCCCAGCCTAGCCTTGCTCCATGTACTTCACATCTCCTGGTGAGGTCATGAGCCAACCTCCCCTCTCCAGTAAGAGAACCCAGCTCTGGGAAGGAGGCAGAAGGACCAGACCCATGCCCCAGACTTGGTCAAAGAGGGCGCACACAGCTCACAAATACAGATACGTGGGTCTGTCCACACCTACCCCGTCAGTGCAGGACACAACTGCATTGAGAGTGAGTTGTCACTGCCAGGCCACCACAGAGAAAGCAGAGAGGGCTCGGGAAAAGATAGAGGGACAGTCCAAGTAGCACAGGCCTGTGGGCGAGAATGTAGCTAGGCTCCAAGCTGCCACTGAGAGTACTGAAAATGGCACTGTGACAGGCCCCTCTGTGGGGCAACTCCGTGTCACTGTGCCAGCCTCCTGGTTTGCTCCAGAGCCAGCTGTCTTCACTACTTAACTGGTTCATTCAGAGCCACATAGGCAAATGACCACACTAGTCACTGCGCCCACAAAAACAGGAGGAGGATTGCCGGAGCCTGACCTTCCAGGGCAGCCACGCATTGTCCTGAGGCAGAAGAAGCGGGGTGCCGTGTTTCAGGAAGGCTGGGCTAGCTTTAGCACCGAAGCAGGGGAACTGGGGGGACAGTTTGGAGGCAGCAGCGGGGACTCAGGTGTGCATGCCTGGGCAGGGACTCAGTTGGGGGGCAGAGGGGAGCCCAGCTTCTGGGGCCTGATGTGAGTCAAGTAGGAGTTGTGCAGCCAAGATAGGGCCTCTGCTTCCCGGCCAAGTCAGCAGGTCCTGCTGGCAGGGAGCAGCAGAGGTGGTGTGTGCGCCTCCCTCAGGGGCACTGGCCAGAGTCACCGCTACCCTGGCTAAGACACCTGATAGCAGACTCAGGGCCACTCTACATTTAGGGAGAGGAAGGAGCTCTAAATCTGTTCCCCTCTCCACTCCCACGTGCTAGGGGCGTAGCAGAACCCCAAGGGGAGTCTCAGACCAAAATGGCAGAGCCAGCAGTCCGTACTCGTGCTGCAAAGCCTGTATGTTTCCCTCTTGGCTCCTCCAGCTCTTCTGAAGGGATTCCTGGCCGTCCTTAGTCTTGGGAGCTTGTCTTTAAATGTTTAACGGGAAACCCCAGCATGAAGATCCTTTTTGGAAAATGCTACTGCCTCAAAAGGTGGTCACCTCTACAAGAGAAGCCAGGTGGTCCACTCAGTCATCCTTTTGAACACGTGAAGCACCTGTTGCAGGCCGCTGAGGACGGAGAGACAAGCGGGCTCACAAGCAGTCGGAGCGCAGGGCAATGCTCTGTTGGCAGAAGTGTGCCCAAAAGGAGCCTGGCTGCTTTCAGTGCTGTCTTGAGCCGAGATGGATGAGGAATATATTTCAGCCAATAAAACGGGCTGCTTTCTCTCAGGCTCGCAGTGGAGCTCCTTGAAAGGCTGGGACACACAATGGGTACCTGGACCATGACACTGTGCAGTCCCCTCTGGGCGGGGTGTTTCTAGGCTGGCTCCCAGGGGCCCTGAGCCAGGTTGTAGCCTTTGGCTAGCCCTCTTACTGCTGCCACGCGCCCTCTGCACCTTGGGTGAGCAACAGCCTTGTCCCACCTGAGGCCAAGCTTGCAGACAACTCTCCCACTGGGAGTCCGCTCAGTCCCAGCCTATCAGCATGTCCTCTGGGTCATGCTCAGTCCAAAAACACTAGCTTTGCCCTCTCAAGGCCGGCATTTTCAGTTGTCTCACAAGCAGGCAAGGGCAGGAACATGAATAAGGACGACAGAAAAATAATAGTTGCCATAGGGTTATGGCCAAGAATATTAAATATACTATAAAATGCAAGATGACAGAACAATTTTGTCTGGGAATAACTACAGCCAGAATATCTCTTGGAAGCAAGGATCCTGGGACTTCATCTCTCGTTGGTTGGGCCTGTCTATCAATTGGAGGGGTCATTCACTAGATCGAAGGGCATTGTGCTTGGAAAAGTGAACAACCAAAACTGAACAAGACCGTCACGATGGAACAGTGGCTTCACAACAGTTGTCTAAAACATGGGGATGATTGTGAGGATGGCGAAGGCTTTTTTTTTTTCTTTTTTTGGCTTTCATTCTTTTGTACAAAGGTTTTCTCTCAGTCAGAGTTGACAGCTCCTAACAATGAGAAGTCACTGGGGTCCAAGCCTTGTAGCAGCCGCCCCGGGCCTTTCCAAGTTTGTGCAAGGACCATGTCTCCTTTAGAAAACACTTGTGCCAAACAGCCCCTTTGAATTGACTGAAGAGAGTGCAAACCTGTCACTTCTATGGAGGAGAATTTTATGACAGCTGTCAAATCAGCAATGTAGTTGCCTCTTGAACCAGCCATTCCTGTGCCCTTTAGGAGAGCCCTGGTGGCCACAATGTCAGTGGTTTGGACCCACCAGCTGCTACGTTGGAGAAAGATGAGGTGGTCTACTCTTAAAGGTTCAGTCACAGAAACCCACAGGGGCAGTTCTACTCTATACCCTAGGGCTTGCTATGAGTTAGAATTGACTCAATTATCTTAAACCTACATAGATTTGTTTCCTGGGGCTACTGTAAACAACGTTCTACAAACCGAGTGATCAAACCAGAAAGGTGTGGTCTCCCAGTTCTGGCGGCCACAAGTCCTAATGTGGGCTAAGGGCGCTTTCTGGGTCTCTTCGTGCCCCTCCCCGTCTCTGGTAGCTCCCAGTGTCCCTTGGCTTGAAGCTGCAGTGACAGAATTGGTCCTTTCTCCTTTTTGTACATCTTTTTTATGAAGACACCAGCCGTAGGGCTAGAACCTACGCTACTTCAGTATGATCTCATGTTAACCTAACGAGTATCCTCAAAAATCTTCTTTCAAACAAGGTCAGGGTAACATCTTTCTGGGGGGACATAGCAGGCTACTTTTCAGTACCTCCAACCCCCTAAGTTTGTGTTCTCGCCACATGCAAAATATATCCATGCTACCCCAGCATCCCCAAAAGTTTGAGCCCATTCCAGCATTAACTCTAAATCTCAATCATGTTTGGCTAGAGGCTCTGATTATAGTTCATCCTCAAGAAAGGAAGGCGTTCTGTGGGCCTGTGAAACCTGAATACGTGTTACATACCCCCAAAAGGCCGTGATAGTGCAGACATCACATTTCAAAAGGGAAGCAATGGAAGGTGGGAAAAGTGGCCTTGGGTCTCAAGTAAATCTGCTAGATTTCAAGGCTTGAAAATAGTCCTGTCCTTGGCCTACCAGGGGAGAGGCCCAAGCTCCTGAAATCAAGAAGTGGTTGCCCTGCTTCCCAGACCCAGAATGGTAGATCGACTGACCTTGAAACTCTTCTCAGGATGAAGCTACCTTTCTTTTTCTTGGAGAATGTTCCTAGCCAAGCAGCTCCACCAGCCTGCTTTCTGCCTACGGAATTCTAGGAAATGAACACTCCACTGCCTTCATTATTCCCTTCTGTCTAGGCTAATGTTTCTACTGAGGATGAAGCCCATAAATTGCATGCCTAATCTTTCCTAATCACATGCAAATCGTCCAACCACACACCCTTGCTTCCCCTTCAGATACTCTCAGCGTTTGCAATACCAATAGATTGAAAATTCTCCCAAATTTCTAATGCTGGCTCTTTTCACCTCGTTCATTTCTGAACTCTTTCCAGTCGCAACTTTAAGCAGCAAGGAAAAATCAGGGTGCCCCTTCATTTTGATTAGAAAGTCCTTGAGCTGAATATTTAAGTTTATCACAAATTTTACTTTCCACAAAACGTTACAATTTAATTCAGCCAAGTTCTTTGACAGTTTATGACAAGGATCGCCATTTACCTAGTGTCCAATAATATGTTTGTCATTTCCTCCCAGGGTCTCCCCATAAGCGTATTTAATAGCCACTGTGTTTTAAGCACATTTTGTTTATGAGGCTAGGAACTTTCTCTACAACACTCACTTGTTTTTGAATCCGCACCAGAATCTCCTTTAATGTCATAATTCTACAAAGTCTCTTCAAAGCAATCTAGGCTTTTACTATCAAACACCTCAAAAACTTCCTCTACTCATCAGTCAGTCCCATACATTCCATTAGTCACTTCCATACATGCATTCAGGTACTGGCAGTCCCCAGATGGTAAGTGTCAACCTATGTACAACCCATAATTTTTGAACCAACCCCTCTAAATCCTATTGTATTAAAAACTCAGGGTACATTCGATGATCCATAATAACAGATACTATCTAAGAAATGTGCATTAAAACATAATTATTACTACTGTGTTGGTGTAAGTCTTATGTAGAAGTGCTTCTTGAGTGTTTTCCAAACATAGACAAGTACACCATAACCTCAGATAAGCATTTAGTGGACTTGAGATGTGAACACTACCTCACTGTTCAACTTATATTTAAATTTGACTCAGACAGACTCATTTGCCATCTGGGGACTAACTGTATTTGTTACAGAGTTACACCACTTCCCAGGAGCAAGGAATTATACTCGTTTCCTAGAGCTACCATAACAAAGCACCACACCCTGCATGCGTGGACCCTAAGAATAGGTATTTATTGCTGCATAGTTCTAGAGACCAGAAGCCCAAGTCAGAGTCACAGCAATGTTGGTTCTTTCAGAGGCTTTGAGGGAGAACCGGATCCATGGATCTCTTCCTGGTTTTGGTAGTGCCAAGCATGTCTCGGCTTGCAGCCGTGCCATCACAGCATCCTTCTGGCTGGCTGCCTTGTATTTTCTCTTTGATAAGGATGCCACTCATACAGGAGCAGCACCCATCCCCTTCCAGTGTGACCTCATGCTAACTGACAGCTTCTCCAGCGTCTTCATTTACAAGTGAGTACCAGGCACCAGAGACCGGTGTGGTAGCGTTCTTCAGAGAACCAACGAGATGAGGGGAGAGGGGTGAGCATTGATTTACTCACACACTCGGGGTCAGTAAGTAGGCTGACGACTCCTTCTGCCCTACATCCCGATTCACCCATCTGGTGACGACGGGAAAAGGGCAGAGCGAGAAGAAGGCAGAGATGAGTTCTTCAAAGAACTGCATCGCCGATGGGCGGATCACATCCTAAAGACATGCCCCTCTCAAGCTTCTCGTTTCATTACGTTAGATGAAATTATGAGAGGTTATCACATTAAATTAGATTACACTGTGGAGCAGCAACTAGTGCTTGGTCGAGCCATCAGAAATCAGTCGCCTCGCTAAGTAAAATTAACTACCATAAATGGGACGTAGCCACTTAATAAAAAGGAAGATGATGAGGTTCTGCAGGTGTTCCTGTGGCAAGAGTTCCAAGATACTTCATGAACTGTCAAGAGGAAGACACGTGCCCCATGCAGCTAGGTGTACAGTGGGCTCCCCTTTGGGGTCAGAAAGAACCTCACTGTTGACAGTGACTACTGGGCTCCAGCTTGCTTCCCCTGGGCTCCTTGGGCAAGGAACCTGAAGAGGGTTGGGACACGGGCTAGGGATTAAAGGAGCAATTAGGAGGGGCACCCCAGATTGTAGGGTGTAATGATGAAGGAGCTGCAGGATGCTCCAAGCCAGGGTGGTGGTGGGTGAAGGGCTGCATGACTGACCAACTGGCTGACCAGGCACTGAGGGTGTCCTGAGAGACTAGAATCATAAGGATAAGGAACTCAGCAGGGACCCTCCGACCACCCAGAGGGAGATAGCCCGGGCACCACGGGCACAGCCACATGGGCAGACCGTCAGGAGCTACTCCCTCAGAGGCCATCCTTGGAGACTTAGGGCACCTGAGTCAGAATGAGATCCAGAGGTCCCTGGGGGTCTCACGGCAGCTCTATCATTTCAAGTTGGTTTTATGTATGACTTTCCACACAATAAGTACCCCCAGTTCAAAAGCCACAATGTACAAAGAGCAAACATTAAGAGTCTCATTCACCCCCTTGATCTGTCTGTGCCAGACCCCGCAACTCTCAGAGTAACGTTCATTTGTGCTTCCTTCCAGCCTTGCCTTATACAAAATAAACAAATCTAAATATGTACTCTTCGTCTTTTCTCCCCGTTGTAAGCCCCAGAAGTAGCACACTGTAGTCGCTGGCCGCTCTCTTACTTTTGGTGCCTACTAACTGAAGGTTGTGAGAGCCCTGATCCCTCCCCCACCACACACACACACACACACACTATTGTGGTCAAGAAGGTCTCTGGCCAGGTGGACCTGAGCAAGGGAGATGGGCTCTCTGCCTACTTGGGGAATGAGTCACCCAGGGAGACAGACACAGGAGCCAGAAGAGGCCAGGGGAGGTGCAGAAAGAGGAGACGCAGAGCTGATGCCAACTTCCCACTACTCTGCAGCTTGGTTAGGAGCCAGCTGCTCTGCCATTCGTGAAAAGAGCAAGTGATCCTGGGGAGGGAAGGGGGGAGAGGTTCAGTCCAGGGGAGGGACTGGACCTCGGGCCTCACCCAGGGGGCTTCCAGGGAGCTTCCACAGCCTGAAGGTGCCCCCCTCCCCAACTTACCTCCAGGCTCAATGTAAGCCCTTCCCATGACTGCGGTTTCCTCCTGGCGCCTCTGGTCTCCGGTAGATAGCTCTAGATAGCTCGGGCCCCCTCCCACTGCACTAATGGCTCCGCCTGGGGCCCCAGGGACCTTCTCCTCCCAACTGCTCTGCCCCTGACCCCCCTCACTGGTGAAACCCAACCCTCTGCAGCAGCTCGGGCAGCACCTAGTCAGAGCAGACTGCCTGCCTGCCACAGTGGGCCGGGCTGCGGAGCCCTGATCCAGCGCTGAGCCCCTCGAAGCCAAAGCCCATTCCTGGAGAAGCACAGGCCGGACCAGCCAGGGCTCCCATCCACTCCACCAGGCCAGTGCCTCCCACCTCTTGGTCTTGCATCTCTCCTTTGCCCCTCTCTAACCCCTTGCCTAACCCGCAGTGACCCTGGCCTGGCCACCTCTGTCCTGCCTCCATCCCTCAGCCCTCCTGGCCCTAAGACCAATCCCGACCCCATCCCTCTGGGTCTCTTGCTCCAGCCAACAGCCATGAAGCCCAGCTTGGGGCCAGAGACGGCCCCTCGGCCGCCAGCCTCGGACATCCGAGTGTTCGCCAGCAGCTGCACCCTGCATGGCCTGGGCCACGTCTTCGGGCCGGGTGGGCTGACCCTGCGCCGTGGCCTATGGGCCACGGCCGTGCTCCTGTCGCTGGCCACCTTCCTCTACCAGGTGGCCGAGCGGGTGCGCTACTACGGCGAGTTCCACCACGAGACCGCGCTGGACGAGCGCGAGAGCCACCTGCTCACCTTCCCGGCGGTCACCCTGTGCAACCTCAACCCGCTGCGCCGCTCCCGCCTGACGCCCAACGACCTGCACTGGGCCGGGCCGGCGCTGCTGGGCCTGGACCCCGCCGAGCACGCCGCCTTCCTGCGAGCCCTGGGGCGGCCCCCCGCGCCGCCTGGCTTCATGCCAAGCCCCACTTTCGACATGGCGCAGCTCTACGCCCGAGCGGGCCACTCCCTGGATGACATGCTGCTGGACTGCCACTACCGTGGCCAGCCCTGTGGGCCAGAGAACTTCACAACGGTGAGCTGGCGGCCCCTGCTCAAGTGCGCTCTGGCCCCCTGGGGTGGGGATGAGGGGGTGCCTTCTTCTCTGGCCAGGCTGAGTTTTCCCCACCCCACCAAGTTCTCTGTTCCGTTCTGGGAGTGGTCCTCGTTGGTAACCTCCCTGCCCCGCTGTGGATGGCAGTTTCCAAGGCCAGGCCCTCAGGCCCCTGCCCCTAGCAGACACTGATGCAGCTTGGCCCCAGGCCCGAGGTCTGGCCTGTGAAGGCCCTGCTCCTTGGGGTGGACCCCCGAGAGTAAGTGTCCTGGGAAAGACCCCTCTCTCTGCCAGGGACAAAGAGACAACTGAAACGCACTCTCTTTTGGCTTAAACCCCAGCCCCCAGTCCCCTTCCCCTGCATGGGGGAAGAGTGTATGTGGAAACCCAAGTGTGGGAGGGAATGAAGGGAGCCCTCTGTTAGGGCAGGGCTTCGAGAAGAGCCATGTGGACTCCGGTGTTCAAAGAAGAAACAGAGGAGAGGAGGGCAGGGAAAGGCTCCTGGTGGGGGACCTGCACAGGGGTTTCACCCTCTGGTGCCACCCGGCCCCCTGCACGCCCACCAACAGATCTTCACCCGCATGGGTCAGTGCTACACCTTCAACTCTGGGGCCAACGGGGCTGAGCTGCTCACCACTCCCAAGAGCGGCATGGGCAACGGCCTGGAGCTCATGCTGGACGTGCAGCAGGATGAATACCTGCCTGTGTGGAGGGACACCGGTAGGGGGACATTGGAAGCCACGGGGTAGCACAGCAGGGGGAGGGACCCCAGGGCAGGAGCTGTGGGAGGGGGTGCCCGTCCCCGGCAAGGTCCCCCTGCCCCCCACTCCAAGCAGGTCCTTCCCTGAGAGAAGTGGGCAGGAGTGGTCTGCATCAGCCTGCACAGCGGAGAAGGGTTACAGCCAGAGGTCTGGCCTGGTTGGGCCTCGGGCCTTCCGGGTCCCTTCCCTGCAGAGGAGACCCCGTTTGAAGTGGGGGTCCGAGTGCAGATCCACAGCCAGGAGGAGCCTCCCCTCATCGACCAGCTGGGCTTCGGCGCAGCCCCCGGCTACCAGACCTTTGTCTCCTGCCAACAGCAGCAAGTATCCTCCTCCCCTGCCCCTTCAGTCCCTCCCAAGCACCCAGGCTCACCCTCTTCCTGCCACTCCAACCCCCACCCCCAAGGGGCCTCCATCCCACAGGAAACCAACCACACTTTTACCTGGGCACCCACACTTCTTGCAGACCCTTCCTTAACCCCTGTCCTCCATAGTTGAGCTTCCTGCCCCCACCCTGGGGCGACTGCAGCTCTGTACCTCTAGACCCCCCGGACTTAGAGCTGGAGCCTGCTGGGCCCCTGGGTTCCCCCCACACTCGCCCGGGCCCCAGTTCTCCTTACAGCCTAATGGGCTGTCGCCTGGTCTGCGAAAGCCGCTATGTGACTCGGAAATGTGGCTGTCGAATGATGTATATGCCTGGTAAGGGGCTGCTGGTGGAGGGAGTGGGGTGGCGTGGGGAGGGTCCGTGTCCCCAGAGGGCTCAGAAGCGCTTAGGCAGCTCCTGAAGCTGCCTCCTCGCCTGGCCCTCCTCCTCAGGTGGTGCCCCGGTGTGCAACCCCCAGCAGTACAAGGACTGTGCCAACCCAGCCTTAGGTAAGGGTATCCACCCCTCCCTCTCATCCCTGTCCCTTCCCGCAGGCCCTCACCTGACTTGTTTCGCCATCAGACGCCATGTTGCGGAAGGACGCGTGCGCTTGCCCGAACCCTTGCGCCAGCATACGCTATGCCAAGGAGCTCTCCATGGTGCGGATCCCGAGTCGCGCCTCGGCCCGCTACCTGGCGCGGAAGCACAACCGCACCGAGGCCTACCTTTGGTAAGCAAAGGGTGGCCCCGCGGGTGCCGATGGGCCAGAGCTCGGCGCATCCCGGTCGGTCGCAGCGTTCTCCACCCCCAGCACCGGCTCTGTTGCTGGGCCGAGGTGGTAACACGCCCCCGGGGCCCAGGAACCTTGCAGGCCGCCCAGCCAGGTGACCAGTGTGCCTTCCTGGCCTCCCCTTCCTCCAGGGAGAATGTGCTGGTGCTGGACATCTTCTTTGAGGCTCTCAATTATGAAACGGTGGAGCAGAAGAAGGCCTATGAGGTGTCGGAGCTGCTTGGTACATGCACACCTGGGGTGCTGCCAGGCCTGGGGAGGTGTGTGCTGCAGGGGCCGTGAGGGGACCACCACCCTTTCTCTGTAGGTGACATTGGGGGCCAGATGGGACTGTTTATTGGTGCCAGCCTGCTCACCATCCTTGAAATCCTGGACTACCTCTGTGAGGTGGGTCAGGGATGGGAGAAAGAGGGAGGGCCACATGACTTCGGGGGGGCATGGGGTGCAAAGGCCACTCTCCCCACTGCTTGCCCCCAGGTGTTCCGAGATCACGTCCTGGGATATTTCTGGAGCCGTAGGCGCGTCCAGAGACACTCCAACACCAATCTGGTAGCAACTCTCTCCCCTCCCACTCCTCTCATGCCCTCACTCTGCTCCCAATGTGGGGCTCAGCCCGTTTTTAGCCCCTTTCCAGACAACCTAGCACCCACCTGGCTGGGGCCAGGAGGAAGGACTCCCTCCTGCCTCTGACTTGCTCCTCCTCCCACAGCTGCAGGAAGGGCTGGGTGGCCCTCAACCCCATGTTTCCCACCTCAGCCTGGGCCCCAGGTAACACAACAATCCCTGAGGTCAAGGGAGGAGGGGCAAAGCCAGTCCAGGAGGGCATAGGGAGGCGCAGGGCAGCAGCCTGGAACCCCTACCCTCCGGTCTCTCCAGGCCTCCGACCCCTCCCTGTGCTGTCACCAAGACCTTCTCGGCCTCCCACCGCACCTGCTATCTGGTCACCCGGCTCTAGCCTGGTGCCTCTGTCCTCAGGGCCCCACCAGGCTCAGCTTGCAGATGGACTTGCCATCTTTACCCTAAATAAAATGTGACTGCCCTCCTCTCCTCTGAGTCCCGCTGATCAGGAATGCTCACCAGGACAAAATCAGGCCTGCGCAGTTGTGCTGGGGGCTGGGCCCCCAAGTCAAGCACCAGGGACCCATCTGGGGGAGGATGCCCGGGGGAAGGTATCAGCTGCCTGCCTCTCAGTGTGACTGTGTTTGTCTCAGAGAGCGTGGAGGGTGGGGATGCTCAAAGCCAAACCACGGGGGCAGGACACACAGGTGAAGAAAGCTCACTCAGCAAGCCAGGCAACTCCGGGCCTGGCCACGCGGCCACAACTGGGAAAGGCTCTGAGACGATGTGGGCAGGGAGAAGGGAAGTGCCGTTCCACTTCCAAGGACACCAGCCGTGGTGCTGCCTCAGATGATCAGATCAGCATCGCTCTCACCCTGGGGAGCAAGAGGCAGCAGCGCAGTCTCTACAGGGCGAGCTCCTGCTTCCAGTCTCCCCACTCTGGCACCAGACCCTCTAGCTTGACAGGTGGGGACCTGGGATAGGTCAGCCAATGTCCTCCCTTCCCTTTCCTGCCAGGAAGGACCCAGCAGGCTGACTTCTCCTTCTGAACCCCAGAGGTTGGGAAAGGGGCTACCAAGGGAACCAAGGAGGAGGAGTCCTGAGCCGGCAGGCCCGGGACAGGTGGGGACACAGCCAGGAGAGTCAGGAGGAAACACGTGGGATGTGGAGACCATAGCAAGCAGCCTAGCCTCTGTCTCCCTGTGTGGATGGAGGCCCGTCCTCACTTGCCCAGGCTGGCCCCGGAGCCCCTTGGGAAGGTTCAGGTGCCCCCAGCAGAGGAAACAGGATACATGCATGAGTGCCAGTCCAGCCCTAGCCATGATGGGTACCACCCATAGTATCTCACCCTGATCTCAGAGCCCTATAGGACATGTGCCAAGGAATGGATGCTGGGTGTTTGTGAGCTGGAGACACAGTTGCAGAGACACCCCCACCCCCACCCCACCCATAACCACTCAACTACCACATCAGCCAGACTGGGAAAGGAGACAATTTATGAAATTAAATAAAGTTCATGGAGGAAGTAAAGAACCCAGGCCGGGCACCTCCACCCTTGGTGGGCCCAGCACAGCTGGGGCCCCAGGGCCTCGTGAACCCTCCCCTCCCTCTCCTCGCTGGAGGGGCTTCAATAAGCCAGGCCCCAGCCTGGCACCAGGGGTCTTGGAGCCTACGGTGGGCAGAAGTCAGAGAAGTAGGAATGCTGCAGGGCTTCTTCTGCTGAGATGCGCTGCACGGGGTTACACTTGAGCAGGTTCTGCAAAGAGGGAAGGAGGGCAGGGCTTCGTTTCTAGAGCCTGTCCACCCCCAGCCCCCCACTATGTGGCCGTGACTCCCACCCCTTACCTGCAGCAAGTCCCTCCCCGTGGCGTTAAGCTTTGGCACGACGTTCACCAGGGACGTGGTAGCCGGGTACATTGGGTAGGGCTGTGGAGGGACAGGGAGTCAGGCCCAGGGGCCTGGGTCAGAAAGGGATTGGAGGCTGCCACCCCCTCCCCCCCTACTCCCTAATACCTTATAATCTGGAAGTTTGGTCATGGTGGGCCACTGTTCCTCAGTAGGCGTCCCCAGTAGCGTGTCCACGTGGTCAAGGATCACTGAACTAGAGAGAGTCCTATCTGCCTCTTCAGGGGCCACAGGAGTGGCTCTTCCCTCCCCCTCCCCTACTGGAGAGGGGGCCCCTCACACTCACCCTCATCCTGCCACCAAGTCGGGATGGGATCAGTCCCCGGCAGGTGCACCCCTCGCCATCAGCCCGGCTGGACAGCGTTTACAATGGGCCAGGCATTTGGCACACCTGAGCTCATGGGACCTAGACCCCCATGTCTGAATGCTTCCTGAGCAAGTCACCCCTTCCCCTCCTCCCACAAAAAGCCTGTCCCCCTTTGGATCCCTACCCTTAGGAGGTGACTCCTTTGGCTTCTCCCACAGTCTGTGTGTGTGTGGCAGGGACAATCTGGTGGCTCCCCACCTGCTCCACACCCTCACACTGGGGCAGCCTGGCCCCCGGCAGCCCCTGTCCGGCAGCCCCTGTCCTCAGCGCTCTGTGCATGGGCTAAGTCCATTGCTGGAGGCTCCAGGAGAAGGGCCTGGGCAGGATATCGAAAGATCCTCTTCAGTTGGTCGTCCACGTCATTGCCAGGGAAGAGAGGCCGCCCGGCATTGGCCAGCTCTGGGGCAGGGGGCAGAGGATGAGGACAGGTGACACATGAAGTTCTCCTTCCACTGATACCCTCTGCACCTTCCTCCCCATCCCCATGGGTCCCACTCCCTTCCCAACAGGCGACCCTCCAGACCTGATTTGTCAACCTAAATTGGAAAAAACAAACAAACACGCCTCTTCACAACCCCAGCACGTCACCTGCAAAGATGCAGCCGGCTGACCACATGTCGATGGATGTGGAGTACAGCTTGGCTCCGAAGAGGACATCCGGTGGGCGGTACCACAGCGTGACCACCTGGAGAAGACCCCACCCACAGGGACACACACACCCCCTTCCACTTAGAGGGCTGGGGATGAAGTCTGAGGAAGAAGCAGCTTAGAGAGGAGAGAGAAAGTCCTGCTTTGGGTTCTGGCGTGGGGCTGGGAAACTGCTCACTGGCCATCCCCTCCCTCTCCCCAACTCCTCACGGCAGCTCACCTCTGCGGAGTAACATCGGACGGGGATCCCGAAAGCTCGAGCCAATCCAAAATCAGCCAGTTTCAGCTCCCCATTCTGAGGGGAGAAGAGGATATGGAGAGAGGTCCCTGGATAGTCTCTGGAGGCAGACTCTCTCCCTTTAGTGCCTTCTCCCCGCCCCCGATCCCCACCCCCAGCCTCCCACCTCATCCCCCTGGTCCCCTGGGAAGTACCCGATTTATGAGCAGGTTCTGCGGCTTCAGATCCCTGTGCAGCACATTGCGGCTATGACAGAACCCCAGGCCTTTTAGCAGCTGGAAAAGGAAGGACTGGGGGGGGGGGGGGGGGGGGGGGGGGGGGGCAGGGGGAGGGGAGGGTCACATCCTGGTGGGAAGCTTTGCTCAACAACAGACAGCACCACACTGCTTGGCCTCTGGTCTAGCCTCCAGTTCCTTGCCTATCTAACCCCCACACTTAGCACATCACTCAGTCACCAAAGAGGAGCTGTTCTGTACCGTGTTTTGTACAGTAGGAAGAGCACAGTAGCAAAACAGGGTGGCCAAGCATGTAACTTATAGCCCAGTGGGCCTTTCCATTCTCCATCCACAGGGAGCTCTTGCCTACCTGGCCTCACCTGAACACACATGTTAACTCCTAACCGATACCCTGCGCTCTAAGACTCAGCACATTGTTTTCCTGTACCGAGTAGAAAGAACTTAACTTCAGGCCTAGAACAGTGCCCGGCACACAGCAAAGCACTCAGTAAATATTTGTTGGCTGAATGAATGTATCCCTTTGAACCGCTAGGTTCTCCCGTGTACATAAGAACGCTGACATCTAAGTGCTACTGTGTGGGCCCCGGGAGGAGACCATGTGAAAATGCTGGCTAGGCCTGGAGCCCCAAGAAGGTAGAAGCAGGGTTCACCTCTCTTATACCATAAAGGGTCTCCTGCTCAGGGTCCAGAATTGGAGCTTAAAGAGCACTTACGCTGCATATTGACTCCAGCCCAGCCTCATTGATGGCCCAGGACCCCACACCCCTCACCTTCACAATCTCAGGGTCCAGGTCACCATTGCAGCTGTCAAAATACTTCTTCAAGTCCTAAGAGAAGGATGGTGTTGGAAAGGGGAGCCGACCTCTGCCTTCACCTGGGTCCTCATACCCCCCTCCTGTACCATCCTCCAGTCCCTCAATTGACCTGATCACAGAACTCAAAAACCAAAGTCAGCTTCTTGTCACTGTGCAGGACGTCATGGAGCCTGGGGACAAAGAAGGAAGGGGTCAGCTAGCCAGATGTACAAGGGTGGGCCTAGTACCCCCATAGCCAGCCCAGCCCCACTCCCAAACCCCACCTGCCTCCAGCAACCACCCAGGCGAAATCAAACCCTGCCTGTTTCCACACCTGACAATGTTCTTGTGCTTCAGCTCTTTAAGGAGGCAGATCTCTCGGAGGGCAGAACTTGGCACTCCCTAGGAGAGGGGGCAAGAGGGGGCAGTCGGGTCTCCTCCCCAGCCCACTCCACGACCACCCCTCACCCCAGCCACCCGGCCTCGGCCTCGGTGCTGCAGTCCTACCTCATCGTCATCATCCAACCTCACCCGTTTCAGAGCCACGATCTCATGCGTCTCCCGGTTTTTGGCTTTGAACACGGTTCCATAGGTGCCTGTAAGGAGGGCAGGTGAAGTTCAGGGAGGGATGCGGCACCCTGAGAAGGGGTGCAACATCAGAGTGGATTCTTTCTGAGGCCTGCGGGAATTCGAGGAGGGTTTCCGGGTGCAGGCTGAAGGGTGAGTCTGGAAGAAGTTTGAGTGAGGATGTGGGTAGCAAAGGTGCCTGCAGAGGCTACGGGTTTTCCAGAAAGGAGAGTTTATGGCTGCCAGGTGACAGATATCTAGAACAGAGGGTCTGGAAACGGTGAGAAGGGGGCTGGGAGAAGAATGGGGGTCATCAGATCTGTGGAGGTTGGGAGTGAAGTGAGGTTCTGAAACTGGTGCCCAGAGGAGGGGTGCCAAATGCAGGAAGGGCTCAGGCTGGGAGTCCGGGTCTGGGGCGTGCTCAGATTAGGCATTGGAGACTGCAGGGAATACTATTGCAGGGAAGACTGGCGTCAACAGCGAACCGTTAAGATCGGGGGCCAAGACTGCAGCAAGTGCTGAGGTCTGGGTCAAGACTGCGGACGGACGGCAGAGAAGCTAGGGTTGCAAGGAACGCAGAGGTTCTGCAGAAGAATATCTTGCAGGAGCACTTCGTGGTACCATTACCTTCACCAATCTTCTCCAGTTTCTCGTATTTCTGCATCGCGGCAGTCGCGGGGACCCCTGCGGGCCCTCGCCTCTAAGACTCCAGCCCCGGCTTTGCAGAGGAGCCAGAACCCCAGCCTCCGGCCCTGCCTCGCCTGCTTGCCTGCAGAAGGGCTTCTGGGGCTTGTAGTTCTAAAATGATCAGGTCTCCCTGTAACGCTCAGGCCTACTAAACCAAAAAGACTACAGCCCCCAGAAGGCTACGCCCAGGCTCGCTGCAGCGCTAGATTCCCGGGACTCGTCCGACCGCGGGGCAAACCTCGGACTTCAGGTCCCATGAAGCATCGCGTATCCGCTTTCCGGCGTCATTGTCGCATCGCCGTGTCCCAGGGTGCTTCGCTCTTCTTACTGCTGTCCTATAGTTACAATCCCTTTTGGAAAGCGCCCCTCTGGAATTGAACATTCTAGAGTGCAGCGGGGTTGGGAATGGGAGGCCCCCGTTTCGCCTTTGGAACGTGCCCTAGATCCGGAATTCAGGTGGCTTCCTGTCCCGACTAAAGAGGAAATGGTATTTGGTTCCTAACGACGGCCTGGTGGTCGCAGCCCTGAGTCCACCTTTTCCCCTGGCTCCCGGTAGTCTCACGATTGATCTGGGAAGTAGCTCCGAGTAATTTCTTACTGATGATGACTTCACCGGAAAAGAGACAGTTGTGCCCCTCTCTAAATTGGGATTGTGCATACGGAAGAGCGATTTAACGTTGTCCGGAGACCCCTCACTTCTCTGAGTCTACTTTATCCGACACCACCCTTCCTCCAACTGCTGCATCCTGGTCTGGGCGCGGCCATCAGCGGAAGAGGGAGGATCCGTTGGCGACAGCGCCTCCGACGGCGGGCAAAGAGATGATGCACTTGTAGGGGCCTGCCCACAACCTTGAAGTAGTTGATTATAGATTTTCTTGGGCTGCGCTCTAATTGTCTCATGATCACATCTTTGAGGACTGTGAGCTGGGTGAAACGGCCCCAAACAGCACCCTTCAACTTTGGGGCCCAAAGTAGAAGCTAAACATTAACTACTCATGTTTGGCTAAACGTTTCCGGCATACACGTCATGTGCTGTAACCAGTGGCTGATTGAAAAGCAAACAAACAAAAAATAAGTGAGAACTTACTCCTTATCTGGAAAGATCTATAATTGAGAAACAGGAAAGGCTGCTTGCGAGTTGATTCCGACTCACGGTGACCTGGGAATAGACATTGTTCTCCCGAAAAGCTGGTGGGTTTGGACTGTCCATCTTGCGGCTAACAGGCTAACACTTAACCCAGTGAACTACCAGAGCTCTTTGTTAAACACAAAACCAAGACAAACTGACTGCCATACAGTCGATAGCGACTCATAACGACCCTCCCGGACAAAGCAGGGTTTCTGAGACTGACCGTAACTCTACGGGAGTGGAAAGCCTCGCCTTGCTCCTGTGGAGTGTATGGTGGTTTTGAACTGCTAATCGTTGGGTTGCTAAAGAGTAACCCACTACACCCCCTGGGCCCTTCTTGCTACACACAAGGCTCTCTAAATGGTGGTGATGGCTATGAATAGGGATCGGGTGTGTGCTTAGGTAGTGCAAACTACCGAGGTCCCCGGGGGCCTCGCGCCGAGGCACCTCGGGAACTGGTGGAGGGCGGGGCGGAGTCCTTAACCAGATGCTGAGGTTAGCTCAGGATAACGGGCATCCCATCGCTCCCGTCCCCGCCCACTGGGCAAAGACAGGGTTCTCGGAGGTCGTGGAGTCGGTTTAGTTGTTAGTTTTTGCGGAGGATGGCAGAGATTCGGATACATTTAGAATTCAATTCTTTCGCCCCGAATTTCCTGACCATCCTGTGTCTCCGTTTTCCTGTCCACAGGATCCCTGATGTGAGGCGGACTCCTTTCTGTACACAGTCGTCTTAATCCGGTGACAAGCACGCAGCCGGGCCAGCCCAGAGCTGGGGGTCCCGAGCCCGGCCCGGAGCGGCGGACTGCACGCGGGCGCACTGTGCCACAGCGCCGCGCCCCGGGTCCCGCCGCCTGCAGCGCCGGGCAGTGCCTGGGCGCGCGCCTCGGCGCGGGGGTTCTCTCCGCCCTCCCCGGGGCCGCGCACGTGGGCTGAAGGGCGCGCACGCAGGGGGCTGGCTTGCCCGCGGCGCGGGGGAAAGTTGAGTTGCGAGAAGTTAGGAACGGTGGGGGCGCGCCCCGGGGTGGGCACGGGGGCGTTGTCGGGAGCGCGTGAGGACTCCAGAGAAGTGGGGGAAAGTCCCTGAGACCCCGGGAGAGCGACGTCTCGAGCTAGCGGGTAAGCGGATAGGAGGTGGCGGGGGAGGGCCTGGGCCGCGGAGGGAGGAAGGGAGGGAGGGACAGGGAAAGGGGGAACCCGGGACTTGGGCGGGGAGGGAGTGGAAGTAAAGGAAAGGGCGGAAACTGGGGTTGGGGAGCCAGGTCTCAAGGAAAAGGATGGAGAGCCAAGCCGAGTGAGTGCATGCTGGTAGCCGGGATCCCGAGGTTGGCTGCTTTAGAGTATCCTAAAATGAAGGTGCCGCGCCCCCTGCCACCTGGAGTGGGTAATCTCAGGGAGGCGCTGCCACCCTTCTCGGACTTGGGTGAGCTCCAGACGACACCCCTGTCTAACGACTCTCCACTTTATCCTCCCAGTTCGTCCTGGCCACTCAGCGGGGGATGGGGGGGTTGCCTGAGGCTTCCGCCCTTGCCCCAGAGGGTTTGGAGGCGGAGCCGGGGGAGGGGGAGTTGAGGGGGGCCGGCAGGTCAGGCTAGGACCCGGGGTTAGACTATAGGGTGAGGATGGAGAAGACAAGCCCAAGAACTGACTCTGACTACTTGGGGGAGGGGGCCGAGTTGGCTGGGCGGGGTGTCTGTGCTTGGGGGTGGGGTGGGGAGGGCGCTGCCTGAAATCCAGGGATCTTTTCTTCCCTCCAGACCCACAACCAAGAACTGTGGAATGTGTGAATTCATTTTGGGGGTGGGGTGGCCCATGCTTAAATAGGGGTCGGGGTGCTAATCCCTTGGGAAGGGGGAGCAATGCTAATCCTCCGGGCCGGTCGGGGCTGGTCCCGGGAATGTGCCCCCACCCCGGATTATCGGCACTGATGCTCTGCACAGAAGCTGCATTGTGCTCTCCAAAGGCGGGGTGTGGGGGTGGGGTGTGGGTGTGTGTGTGGAGGGGGTATCAAAGGAGGAAGGGATGGTAGCTGAGCACATCCAGGGCACGGCCTACGGGGGAGGGGGGGGAGCACCCGCAGGTGCTCTGGACAGTCTCCCCACCCTCTTTCCCAGACTGGCGCCCCACCCCCACCCCAGCACACCTCACTATCTTACCGGAAGTACCCTGGCCTGAAGTTCTGGTTTGAGGGAGGGTAGGAGAGTGGTCAGCTGAGTTGGAAGCTGACCAGGAATGTGTCGCCCCAGGCTTCCCACCCTAGACTGACCCCTACTACGGGTCAGTATAATTGACCCTGCAACTGGCCTGTGTCTCCCCCAAATTCGCCATAAATTGGGCCTCTCAACTCCCAAAAACGGCGGTATTTCTATCTAATTAGTGCTTTAGGGACACCCCCCCCCAGCTTACCCCACGCTGAATGGGTATCCCGATTTGCACTTAATGCGCCTCTCCCTCCCTTTTCCCCTCCCACATTCCCAGAGTTATGCCCTCTCGGTTAACCCTACAGTCATGGTCAGGAGGGTGTGAGCCCTGCCACTCCACATTTTCCGCCCTAGGTTAGGGGGAGGAACACGATCTAGAGGGAACCTGCGCCCACCCCCTCCTTGCCCATCACGTGCCCCTCCTCCTGTATAAAACGGCCCTGCCTGTGTCTGTGGTCTGTGAGTTCATTTAGGTTTTTGCCCCTGCCCCACGGACGCTACTTTACCTCCTTTGCAAAGAGCCTTCGAGGAGACATAGGGCGTGGTGGTCCTGTCACCTGGGCCCAGTGCTCCAGGTGACCCCCTCACTGGAGCTTCTCCCTTCTCCCCCTCTCTGCCTCCTGTTGGTCCAAATGGCTGTCTTCTCTTGAGCACCTATCTGCTGCACTGTCTCACTCTGGTGGCAGGCCCCTTTCCCAGTGTGCTTGGTTCATGTTCTCGGCCTGCCCTTCCCTGGGATCCCTTCCGTTCCTGGGATCTGTTGCTCTCTAGTGGGGACCTCACGTCCTCTGCCATGTGCTTTCTCCCTCCTCATTCAGCTTGGTCTCTGGGCCTTCTGCGGCCTCCTTCCCCTCAGCCTGTTCCCTCTCCCATCTCTCTCGGCTGGTGCTTCCCTTTGAGTCATATAAACAGTGATCTGTTGGGCTCTTGCCACCTCTGAGGGCCACTGCAAGGCCCTACATAGTCCAGGAGGTCTTGATGCAGCAACTGGACCCATCTGGCCACTCAGAAGCCTCTTTGCAGAGCCTTTGTAGGGGGTGCAGATGTCCCTCCCCTTGGTGACCTGGCTCTCTCCTGTCCAGGTTATGCCTCCTCCCTGCTGTCCTGAAAGCCGCAGCGACAGTGAAAAGGGCTAAGATTTGATCATGAGCAGCGTCCCCCGGCGCCCCTCCTCAGGGGCAGACTCTTTCCACACAGTAAGTATTATGCACCCGCCCTCCAGTGGCTGTGGCCACAAGTCCCTTCGGTCTCAAGCCCCCAGAGGCGCTGTGTGTGTGTGTGTGTGTGTGTGTGTGTGTGTGTGTGTGCAGTTGGTTAGGGGACAGGATTCAGGCATCCATAGTGGACAACTGGAGGAGGTTGCTGGCGCCTCCCCCTCCCCCCAACTTAGATGTAGTAGAGTTTGAGAGACTTATAGTCCAGGGGAAGAGGATTGAGGCTCTTTTTCCTGGAGGTGTGTGATTAGCGGCCGCAGGAGAGGAACACCTGGGACCTTGGGTCCCTAACTCCAGCGATTTCGCTCTGACCCGACTTGGACGCCGCTTTCGCGAAAGAAATCTGGGCGGAGCACTTGTAGTTGTGTGCCCCCGCCCCCACCTCCGTGCACCTGGCCCGCCTCTGCCGGCTCCCACGTGGTAACCGCCCCACGTGGCCCCCTCCCGATTTTCCTTGGGAGTCTAATGATTAACCCTGATTGCCCCAGTCAGCCCCGTTATTGGTCACTTTGGCACGTGACTGGGAAGGGGCCCGGACAGGTCCCCTCCCCCTCCCTCCCCAGGTTCATCCTGGCCGACCATGGACTTCCTCTTGCAGCCTCAGGTGCGAGGGGTGTTCCAGACCCCACTTCCCTGCCCCAGGGCTTGCCCCTACACTTGCTCCCCACTCCTTGCTCCAGCGGGCTGCTTCCTGGGAGGCCTGGCGGAGCGCTCGGAGGGGCTGGGTCGAGCCGCGGGGATGGGCCTGGTCGCAGCCCTCCCCCCTCCCGCCCCTGTTTTCTCCTTTCCCACATCCCTACCACCTCCAGCTGCTACCGGCCCCACCTCCACCCCGTGTCTCCTCCACCCCCCACCCCCGAGACCCGCCCTTCTTCCAGCCCTCCGCCCCTTGTTCTTGGCTCTCAGGGCTGGCACCGCCATGGAGGGGGTTTCACACCCCCGCCCTTGGAGATCCCGATGCCCTTCAGATCCAGAAACCCTTGAGCAAATATTTGGTGGTGCCTGGAGCAGAGGCCAGCAGGGGGGTGGAGGGGGGGCCGGACCAAAGCTGCAGGGGCTAGGCAGCAAGCAGACTGCTGGCTAGGCTGAGCTTTCCCAAGGGCTGCTGCCGCTGCCGCCACGCCGCCGCCGCCGCCCGCCGCCGCCGCCGCCGGCACCGCAGTCGCTGCCCAGCCGCTGCGGGCCACTGCTGCTCTGCCCCCGCAGGATGACTCAGGTGGGGGAGTGGAAGCGGGGGAGGGGTGGGGCCAGGGCGCTGGCCGAGGGGCCGGCTTGGGCTTGGCTGGCGGGATTGCTTCAGTGGTGTATGGGTGAGCAGGGGCTCCACCAACCAGCCAGGCGATGGTGATGTGCAGAAGTTCCTGTCACCCCCTTCTGCCTGCCTCAGGCCAGTAGAGGTCCGTTAGCTCCACTGGATGGCCTGCCTCTAGAAGTTTTGTTTTGAGCTCTGCCGCTGTCTCCCCAGACCTAACGGGACTTTTGGCCCCAGCCTCTGCACCGGCAGACCAGGGCCGGGCCACACTACAGTTCTGCTGAGACCAAGGCACCCACAGAAGGTCCTTACACGTGCCTAGAACCGCCTGGCGGTCGTGGGTCACTGGGCTTGATGGCACCTGGAGGTGTGACTTGGGGGTGAGTCCCTGAGTCTGGTGTACCCCTTCTTCTCCCCAGCCAGAGCCAGAGAGCCTGAGCCCAGGGCCGCCTGGGTTCCCCGATCAGGAGGAAGATGAACTGCACCGGACGCTGGGTGTGGAGCGATTTGAGGAAATCCTCCAGGAGGCTGGGTCTCGAGGAGGCGATGAGCCGGGCCGAAGCTATGGGGAAGAAGACTTTGAGTGTGAGAAGGGCCGCTGGGGGCACTCAGGCTCAACTACCCAGCAAGGAGGAGCCTGGGGGCCTGGTGGGAGGGGCTAGCGCTATGGGGACCAAGATGACAGGGCAGGGAAGTTGTGCCTGCCAGCAGCCAAGGCCCCCTCCTCCCCGCAGACCACCGCCAGTCCTCCCACCACATCCATCACCCACTGTCCACCCACCTGCCTTCCGATGCACGCCGCCGCAAGATCCCCCAGGGTGCAGGGCGGAAACCTCGGAGGCGCCCTGGGGCTTCTCCCACTGGGGAGACCCCCACTATCGAGGAGGGTGAAGAAGATGAAGATGAGGCCGGTGAGGCTGATGGGGCCAGGGCACTTCCCCAGCCGTCCCCCACCCGAACACCATCTTTAGTGCAGGTGAGTGGAGGGGAAAGGGCCCTGGGGGCTGCCCACAGGGCTCCTGGCCCAGCCTGCTGACATTTGGCCCTTGCTCTAGTTCTTCCTCCAGGAGGATGATAGCAATGACCGGAAGGCCGAAAGGACCAGTCCCTCTCCTCCTCCACCGCTGGCCCACCAGGAGGCAGCTTCCTGGGCTACCAAAGGGGCCCAGACGGGGTGAGTGTGTGCCCCCTTTCAGTCAGCAAGTTCTCCCAAGCAGAACCTTCCTGTCCCACTTCAGGGGGTGTGGGGGAAAGTCATAGGCAGTGGGAAGTGAAAGACTGGCCAGCAGCAGCCAGCCGCGTCCGGGGAGGACACAGTTCTGCCAAGAGCTGTGGTGTGCAGTCAGTCAGCCTGACTTCCAGCAGACGGGGGGTGCAAATCCTCGCTCTGCCTCAGCTCGGGCTGTCTGTGTAGGTAACGCAAACTTTTGGAGCCTGGTTTGCTTGTCTATAAACCAAGACCAACAGACCTTTCGCACAGCGGCAGTGAGTGTTAAGGAGAGTGGCGTGAATGAAGGGTCTAAGTGTTTGGTCCGGGACAGAACAGAACTCATGTTTCCCCCTCCCCGTGCCCCTCTCGGGCTCAGAGCCACATCCAGCATTGGATCAGGCACCGGACTGGGTGACCTCCAAGCACCCTCTGGGGCCCCATGGCCTGGAGAGGAACAGGAGACCTGCTCCTTGTCCTTGGGAAGTTGCCAGTACACTCCAGTTGGAAACCAAGTGTAGCCATGTGAAATGGCACCAGAACAGGTGTCTGTGTGGGCCGACCTGATTCAAGCCGTGTTAGCACCCGCAGCGATAGGCACGTGGAGGTGTTAACCAGAGAAGGCTTCCTGGAGGAAATCACTTTGAACTAGATCTCAAAGTCAGCCCTGCCCCGTATCTGTTGTTATCTGGGTACCAGGGAGTGGGAAGGACTTTGGGGAAGGGAAGGACTTGCCACCCACCTCCAGGGAGGGCACAGGTGTGCTGCGAGACGTGGTGTGCTACAGACCTGGGGCCAGAGCCTTCAAGGGGACGGAGGGGGGGGGGCTTCAGCAGAAAGCACAGCATTTAACAATTTGTTGAGCTGGCATGGAAGGTGAGTGCCTGCAGAGAAAACCTGTGGGGGCCAGGGGGGAGGTTGCCAGGGAGGGATACCTGGGCTTAGAAACTAGCAAGGCTTTAAATACCAAGGAGAGAGGTTTCGACGTGATATGGTAAAAAGCAGTAGCCCCTTCGGATGGCAGCAAGAGAGAAGGCTTTCTAGTTTGAGAAAAAGAAATCGAAGATGGTATTTGTAAGGGACAAGGAATTCATAGGATTTTCACCGGGCGGTGAGGTCAGTGGGGAAGGCACTTTCTCCAGGGACAAAGGCCACATTCAGCACTTTTATTCCATTTCATTAGAGATGAAACCTGCAAGGCCCCTTGGGTAGGGGTGTGCTGGGGCAGGGGAAATCCACGGGAGACGACTTGTGACGAGCCAGGTTCCACCCTGGGCACTTTCCAGAGTCTCACAGCACCCAGCACCCCTGAGCTCAGGCTTCTGCTCCATTTTCCTGGTGAGGAATTTATGGTCAGAGAGATCTTGAGTGATTATCAGGGTTGCGTAGCCCGTAAATCGAGCAGTCAGGATTTAAATCCTGGAGGTCAGTTTCCACACGCACAGTATACAAGAGTCAGACTCTGGACGGGGTGAGCCGATGCGGTCCCATTCCGCTTTTCATTTCCCTGCCTGGGACTCCTGGCGGTGGGGAGGAGGCTGCCTTTCCATCCGTCCCCCGTCCCGGCTGACAGCTGCCCTGTCCTTCCAGAGCTCAAGTGGAAGAAGTGGTGCCTGTAGCCAGTGCCACAGCAGGTGGCGACGACGGGGGCGCTTCCGGGCGTCCCCTGACCAAAGCCCAGCTCGGGCATCGCAGCTACAACCTTCAGGAGAGGAGGCGCATCGGGAGCATGACTGGAGTGGAGCAGGCACTGCTGCCCCGGGTCCCGACAGACGAGAGCGAAGCCCAGACGCTGGCCACTGCAGACCTGGATCTCATGAAGAGTGAGTGCTAGTGCCCAGGCCGAGGCTCGTGGCAGTGGGGAGAGGAGTAGGGGTAAAGGGGAAGCCCCACCCGAACCCCTTCTCTCTCCTAGGCCACCGGTTCGAGGATGTTCCTGGGGTGAGGCGGCACTTGGTTCGGAAGAATGCCAAAGGATCTGTGCCAGGCAACCGGGAAGGGAAGGAGCCTGGGCCCACCCCTCGGGCCCGGCCTCGAGCCCCGCACAAGCCCCACGAGGTACTGTGACCTGCTTCAAGTGCTTCTGTTAGCTCCTTATCCACTTTTCCCCGCGAGCTCCCTCCGCCTTCCTCTCAGAGAAGCGGTCCTGTTTGGCATGGGGTTGGTCCTTCACGCTTGTACACTGCTCACGGGCACATCTCAGAGGTCCCGTCCACAGCGCGGGCATTGTTGACGTGCACGTCATGGCACTTGTCTTGACAGAGAGTGAGCCGTGAGGTCTTTGAGGAAGAGGAGACACCCTTTGTGATTAGAACAAAAGTCCCCATAGTTCAGCAGTCGTGCCCTGTATGTCTGCCCATGCACACCCACCTCACCACGCTACCTTCGCGTTGGTTCAGACTCGTAGCAAACCTGTTAGAAGCCCTCGTGGGTTTCTAAGACGGTGACTCTGTATGGGAGTAGAAAGCCGCCTCTTTGTCCTTCAAAAGGCTGTGGAAAAATGCCATTATCTTTCCATTCCATTTTTCAACCAACTTTTTGAAGTCTCCGTGAGAGAGAGAGAGAGGGGGACAGAGAGAGATTCTGGTGATGATGGTTAAGTACTTAACCATTAGCCAAAAATGTCGTGGTGCAAACTCACCAGCTGCTCTGTGGGAGAAAGGACTCCTGATGATCTGCTCCCATAAAGATTAAAAATCGAAACCAAACTCACTGCCATCGAGTCTATGCTGACTCATAGCAACCCTGTAGGATGGGGGTAGAACTGCCCCTGTGGGTTTCTGAGATCATAACTCTTTACGAGATAGAAAAGCTCGGTCTTTCTCCCACAGCGGCTGGTGGTTTCAAACTGCTGACCTTGCAGTTAGCAGCCCAGTGCGTGACCACCATGCCCCAAGGCTCCTCCCATAAAGATTATAGCCTAGAAAAAAGCCAGTGGGACAGTTCTCTGTCATATGAGATCACCATGAGTCAGCCTTGATTTGATAATGGTACCCAACAATATCATTACATAGATATGGTGACCGTGGAACATAACTCAGAGTTGAGCACCATCCTAATTTTAATTCACAGAACAGCCCTTTGAGGTGGGTATGAGCAGCCCCGTTTTACAGACAGGGAGAGCTATGTCTCCAATCGGTTAGTGACTTTCCCAAGGTCCCCTGTTCTACTAGATACCTGAGCCTGTGCACTGTCCGCGGTGCTATGCCTCCTTCGTCCCTACGACTTTCTCGGGGACCAATCTCTGGGGACCACCTCTGGTTCTGCATCCTGAGATGCCCTCTCATGTGACCCTCAGGTGTTTGTGGAGTTGAATGAATTGCTGTTGGACAAAAACCAAGAGCCTCAGTGGAGGGAGACGGCTCGCTGGATCAAGTTTGAGGAGGATGTGGAAGAGGAGACCGAGCGCTGGGGGAAGCCCCATGTGGCCTCGCTGTCCTTCCGAAGTCTCCTGGAGCTCCGCCGGACCTTGGCCCATGGTAACTGCCCCGCACACTGCCCTCCTCACCCCCACCAACTTTGCCTCAGGATGTCCTCTCTTCATAGGCCCTGTTCGCTGAGAACCAGATGGCCAAACGCCCCTCGAATTGGTTTTGCACAACCTGGTATATAGCATCACCAGCACCCAGGAGGCACTTGGCCGGCTGATCAGGCCCGTTGTTGGGTGATTTCAGAGTAGGATTCACTCATTGATGTAGCATTTTCAGACAACTGAACTGGTGGTTACACTGCCTGCGACCCGCAAGGTTGGCCATTTGAAACCACCAGCCGCTGTGTTCGAGAAAAAGGGGGCTTTCTACTTTTGTAAAGAGTTAGCAGTCTCGGAAAGGCACAGCGAGGTCACTATGCATCGGCGTCGACTCCATGGCAGTGAGTTTTTGAGAGGCTAGTGTATTTGGGGTGCTAAGATGTTTAAAGTTTGGATGGGAGACTGAGACGCTTGGCAGGCCTCGTCTCCATCCTGAGATACGATCTGAACTGGGAAGCTGTTTAAACTTGACTGACTGGTCATAGACGTCAGGGCTTTAGAGCCCTTGTGCCCAGTGTTTCTATTGGCTTGTTCCCTCCTCCTCGTTGGGTGGTTGGGTGTTTGCTTACTCCCTATATCTGTCGGGAGGCCTGTTTCTAAGTAGATGAGGGCCCGGAAACTTCCTCTCAGAGTTTCCTAACCTAAGAGGAAATAGGCTCTGCTTGAGGGTTGAGGGCTTGTCTAGAGATGCAGTGCCAAAGTTCCAACAGCTTCATCACCAGGCCTTATGACCTCTCTGCTGTCTGTCCCAGCGCTGTGGGTCTCCCGTGTCCCCAAAAGTTAACTTCACCAATAAAACTTTATCGTGATCAAATATATCGCACACAAAAATGGCGCGACAATCACTCTGAGATGCAGGCACAGGGCCTACATTTGCCGTATCGGGCAGAAGTCCTCATGATCTGTGTATCAGAGATTTTCCTCTCCCCCCACAGGAAGCTAGGACATCGTAAGAAGTGACCCCCCCATACACGGTTCATGTGAGTGGGGTCATAATTGTCCGTTTGGGACTGACTTGTTGCACAGAGCACGGTGGCTTCTGCATTGACCCGTGTCCGATGGCACGTATCAGACTTCGTTTTCCTCTGTGGCCAACTAACGTTTTATCGTGTGCATGTGTGTGCTACACTGTGTTTCTCCGGTCCCGTGCTGGCGAATGCTTACGTAGGTTGTTTCCATCTTTTGGCTCCCGTGAGATCTGCTGCAAATGAGCATGGGGGTGCGTGTATCGGAACGCCTGCTGTGAATTCTTCCAAGGACATAGCAGGCGTGGAATTGCCGGGTCGTGACCATTCTGTTTGGTTTTTTAGTATTTTATTTTTATTAGGATTATTTTTTTTCAATTCTGTTGGTTAACACAGGTGATACATCCATTCTGTGTATTAACTCTTTCGGAAAGTGCTGGACAGTTTTCCACACTGCCTGTACCACCGGGCATTCCCACCAACACCGCAGAGGGTTGGTTACCTGTGTCTCCACATCTTTGCCCTCACTTGTTGGTGTCGGTGTTTCTGTTCATAACTATCCCCGGGGGAGGGAAGTCGTGTGTCACTGTGGTTCTGATTTACGTTCTTTCCCACCCAGTGAAGCACTCGTCGTCAAAAGGTCGCGCCCTGTGTGCAGCCGCTCTGGTCTGCACCCACGGGGTGTCGGTGAGTCAGAACCGACTGACCGCAGCATCAACTGATCCTATGGAATGCCTTTGTATGTGCTCTTGCTTGGCTTCTCGGAGAGCTGTCTACTGAAACCCATCGCCCCTGTGTTCATCGGGGTGCTTGTCTTTGTGTTACTGGGGGGTTTCAGCTCTTGATACGTTCTGGGTATTAAGCACTTACCAGCTCTCTGGGGGCCAGCTATTTTCCCATTCCGTAGATGGTGGCTCCACTTTCTTGGTTAAATACACAGGTGTTCTTGATTTGGATGAAATCCATTTTACACGGTGTTTTGTGGTGCGTGCTTTGATGTTGCACAAGCCAGCTTAGGAGGACTAAGATGCCCGTCGTCTGATGCCAAATGGTGAGGTGGATAACCCACCCCAATCATACCCCACCTGTGCCTGGCAGCAAGCTCGCCTTCTCTTTGCTGCTCAGCTCAGTCTCCAGCTGCCCACTCTTCCCGTTCTCAGTCCTAGCCAGCTAGTGCTAGATCTTTGGGGACTAGCTGAACGCTTGGTAGTCCACATGACTCCCTCCACTTCCGACCGGCCAGCCCCCAGTTTAGGATTTTCCGCTACCTGCTCAGAGTACCTACTACAAACCTGGGAGCCCACATGCTCCCCTTCAGATCAGTCGACTCCCCTGCTCCTCTGTCTGGGAATTAGCTGGAATGACTCACAGAACTGTGATAATAGCTTTAATGTACCGACAACAAAAAGGATACCAATCAGGGAACTGGATGAGCTCTGAGAGAGGTCACAGGGCAGAGCTTCTGTGTTCCAAAGAGGGAGACACTGTCTTCTATGAATGCCACCCGACGCCACGTGAGAGTTCATCCCCAGTGTGTCCTCTGCGGCCATTATTGCTTACGGCATGCCGGGAAGCTTAGCTAACATTAGGCACCCGAGGCGGTCCCTCTGGGCTTGGTCAGCCCCCATTTCTTAGCCTACATAGAACTGAAAACAAGGGCCGAATTGCTGTCTGCCCAAACTGGTTCACCCTTGCTGGGGATTGGCGTTTTTACCCCAGATATACTAAATCAGAATCTTTTTCAACAAAATCCCTTAAGAGTCAGCCGGAAGCGTTATCACGACGCCTGTTCTGAGTCAGTATGTCTGGGGTGGAAGCACCGGTCCCCAGCAGGTGGGCCAGTCTGAATGCCTTCGTTTTCTGAGATGAATGTACAGGGGTCTAAGAATCTGTTGTCAAAAGCAAGTTTCCAAAGCATGCTCCCCGTTCTCCGGTTTGGGCCTTGACGTTTACGTCCTTGATCCATTTTGAGTTGGTTTTGATACATGGTGTGAGCTATGGATCCAGTTTCCCTCTTGGGCATTGGGCTATCCCACTTGTCCCTGCCCCGTTTATTGAAGAGACTGTTTGTTCTCCATTCATGAACTTGTGGAGCATCAGTTGACCATGGATTTATTTCTGACCTCTCAGTTCTATTCCACTGTTCACTATGTCTGTTTCTCACCAATGCCAAACTGTTTTGCTTACTGACGCTTTAACACAGAACACTGGATATCGGCAGAAGTGTGAGCCCTCCTCCTTTGGTTTTTTTTCCGAGATGGTTTGGCTGTTTGGGGCCATTTCTAACTCCATATGAATCGGAGTACTGACTACTCGGTAGCTTTTTTTTTTTTAATAATTTTTTATTGTGAATTAGATGGGGGTTTAAATTTCACATCAGGTTTTCTTTAATCATCTTATTGGGGACTCTTACAACTCTTATTACAATCCATACATTGATTGCACCAGATATATTTGTACATATGTTGCCATCGTTCTTTTCTAGACATTTACTTTCCATTGAGCCCTTGGATCAGCTCTTCTCCGCCCCACCCCCCACCCCCAACCTCTTGGTCCTTGATAGATTATAGATTGTGCATTATGTTCATATCTCACACTGACCACTGTCTCCCTTCGCCTCTGGTTTCTGTTGTTCTTCCCCCTGGAGGGGTGTGTGTGGTTATGTGCCATTCACTGCGATCCGGACCCCCTTCCTCCCCACCACTTCCCCCCTTCCCCCTACCCTTTTGGTATCGCTATTCCCAGTCCTGTTCCTGGATTCCGTGTGTTGTGAGCTTTATCTCTTGTCTGTACCGATGTACATGCTCTGGTCCAGTTCAGAGTGGGAAGCAGCACTGGGGTCATGATAGTGGGGGGTGAGGAAGCCTCAAGGAACCTGAGGAATATTCCGTGATTCATTGGGGCTTTCAGAACAGTTTTATATTCAACAATGTAAAACGATTTATCAAACTCCCCAATAGCTTGCCCCCGCCCCCCCGCCCCCCCTGGATTTCTCGCCACCCTTTTGTGGAATACTATCTTCCCCTTCACCCAAGTTAATACCTGTCCACCTTTCTAGCCTATTGCTTCATCTTTCTTTCTTTGCCCTCACTCCCTCCGTAACCGTCAAAGTCATTTTCCTTTGATATGAAAACCTTTGTCTTGATTTTTTTCTTTATAACCACGGGATCTCCGTTGTTTCTGTCTCCCTGCTGTTGTGAGCAGCGCTGCAGTGAACGCGCACATGCAGGGGTCTGTTTGTGTTGTACACATCAGGGTGTTAAACCAGCAAAGGGGATGGTGGGTTGTCTGGAATTTTTCTGTGCAGTTGTTTGAGGCAGTGCCCTGCTGTTCATAGTGGCTCCACGTCGTCACAGTCCCACGAGCAGTGTCTGAGGCTCTAATTCCTCTCCAGTGTTTGTTATTTTCACTTTTCCCTCAACTTTGTTAATGCTGCCAGGGTAAGGTGGTAGGAATCTCACCGTTGTTGTTTTGATTTGCATCTCTCAGATGGCTTAGTGACGGTGAGCCTTTCTTCATGTTTGTGGGCCATTTGGATATCTCCTGTGGGCCATTTGGTCTGCCCATGTCCTTTACCCATTTTTAATTGGGTTATTTATCTTTTTCTTGTTGAGGTGTTGCGGTTTTCTGTAAACTTTCAGATTAGTCCCTTGTTCCTTGTGTCTTTGCCAAAAAAATGTCTCCCCGTCTGTGGGTTCTCTTTTGACTCTCTGGATTGAAGTCTTTTTATGAACATACATGTCTTGTTTTTCGTAGGCTCAGTTATCTGTTTTGTTTTCTGTGTGATTTTTGTTTTGTTTGTTTTGTTTCTGTTATGGCTGGTTGTATGTTCATGCGACCTGTATAAGAGTCCTTAAATTTGTCCCTATTTTCTCATTAATGATCATTGTAGCTCTGGGATGTACACTTAGGTTTTTAATCCATTTTGAGTTTGTTTTGGTACATGAGTGAGGTATGAGTCCTGTTTCATTACTCTGCATATGGAGATCCAATTTTTCAGCATCATTTGTTGAAGCTATACTTTCGTCTCATTTAATATTTTTCAGCCTTTTGTCGAAGATCAGTAGTCTGTGTATAGGTAGATGAATTATTCTGTGCCGTTGGCCTACATATCTATCATTGTACCAATACCAGGCTGTTTTGACCATTGTGTAATAGTGTTGTTTTTTTGTGTGTGTGGTCTAGAAGTGAGAGGCCTCCTAGTGCCTTGCTTATCCTAGGTCTCTTGCCAATCCACGTAAAGTTGGTGATTAGTTTCTCCATTTCTTGAAATGCTACTGGGCTTAGGATTGTAAATACTTTATATTTATAGATTGCTTTGGGTGGGATATTAACATTTTCACAATGTTAAGCCTTCCTATCCATGAACATGGAATATGCATCCATTTATGGAAGTCTTGATTTTTTGTAGTAGGGCTTTGTAGGTTTGCTTTTTGTTTTGTTTGTTTTTTGGGTGCAAGTCTTTTGATTCTCTGGTTAGGTCTGTTCCTAAGTATTTCATCTTTAAGGTGGCTATTTTATATGGTATTATTTTCCTGAGTTTCTTTTCAGAGTGGTTAGTAAATAAGAATCTGATTTTTTGTATATTGATCTTGTACCCTGCCACATTGCTGAATCTTTCGATTGTTTCCAATCGAAATTTTTGTCGTCTTTTGAAGTTTGCCACGTATAGAATCATCTCATCTGCAAAGAGAGTTTTACTTTTTCGCCAAGTTAGATACCTTTGATTTCTTTTTGTTGGCTAAGACTCTGGCTAAATCTTCCAGGACCGTGTTGAGTAAGAGTAGTTCATGATCAAGGGCATCCTTGTCAGGTGTCCATTCATAAAGAGAGTGCTTTCAGTCTTTTCTCCATTGAGTGAGATGCTAGCCCTCGGTTTTACATATATGGCCTTTATCCTTTGTCGTGTTGAGTGATTACCCTTCTATTCCTGTTTGTGGTTTTTATCAGGAATGAGTGTTGGGTTTGATCAAATGCCTTTTCTGCATCCATTGATATGATCATGTAGTTCTTATTTTTCATTTATACGGTGGACGACATCGTTCTTCTAATGTTGCACCATCATTGCATGCCTTACCTACTTGAATGAGCGAGATGTTTTGGTTTTGTTTGATGATGCTTGTAACTTCTTTATGAAATGGTAGGTCTAGCAGACTTACCAGCATGAAAAGGGATGGAGGAGCGGTTCAGTAAGCAACTCTTGGCTTTGGTAACTGCAGGGGGTAGCTGAGATGCCTGGGGCAGAGAGAAGCTCGCTCTCTATGGCTAAACAGCCACCTTGTGGACAAGGCCACACATTGCCTGTGTCTTGTTCTAGGGCAGAACTAGATTCTAGAGTGAATGTCCAAGAGAGGCCTAAGGTGACGAGCAGTTTAGGTTGGATGGGCTACCGGGGAAGTCCCAGTAGGTTGGTCTCATAACCTCTCTGATCATTGAGCTTTTATGGTGTGGATGAGCATAAGGAAATACTGAGGCCAGAGAGGTGGTGTGCCTGCCGGCCTTTGACCCCAGAGCCAGATGCGAGCCTCATGGATTGCACGGAGCCAGGCTGCCCCCTATCCAGCCCTGACTTCCGGATCCAAGAACCCCAGCCGTACCATGCTGTCCTTATTTCAGGGGCTGTTCTCCTGGACCTGGACCAGCAGACCCTACCTGGCATAGCCCATCAGGTAGTGGAGCAGATGGTCATCTCTGATCAGATCAAGGCCGAAGACAGAGCCAACGTACTGCGGGCTCTGCTGCTGAAACACAGGTGAAGTCCTGCCTGGGGAGGACGGCTTTTGACTCTTTCCCTGATCGGACTACCAGCTCTCAGCTCTTCACTGCCCTCTGCCTCACCAGCCACCCGAGTGACGAGAAGGACTTCTCCTTTCCCCGGAACATCTCCGCTGGCTCCCTGGGCTCCCTGCTGGGTCATCACCATGGCCATGGTGTGGAGAGCGACCCCCACGTCACCGAGCCACTCATTGGCGGTGTTCCCGAGACCCGGCTGGAGGTGGAGCGCGAGGTGAGGGGAAGACGGGGCTCCACCGCCTGGTCAGGTCCTGGGGGTGCCTAGCTGGGCTGGACTGAACTCCGCTCCCTCTGCTCTTCCCGCAGCGGGAACTGCCTCCCCCAGCCCCACCTGCTGGCATCACTCGCTCCAAGTCCAAGCATGAGCTGAAGCTGCTGGAGAAGATCCCAGAGAACGCAGAAGCAACAGTGGTACTTGTGGGTATGTGGGGCGAGAGTCCAGGGCAGGGGTGGCTTTGGCGTGGCTGGCAGACCTTCAGGCACAGGCTCTGTGGAGCGCCCAGTCTGTCTTGGATCCTGCTGCCCCGCCTTTACCCATGACACCCATCTCCCTAGGATGCGTGGAGTTCCTGTCCCGCCCTACCATGGCCTTTGTTCGACTGCGGGAGGCAGTGGAGCTGGATGCAGTTCTCGAAGTGCCTGTGCCCGTGCGCTTCCTCTTCTTGCTGCTGGGCCCAAGCACCGTGAACATGGACTACCATGAGATTGGCCGCTCAATCTCCACCCTCATGTCCGACAAGGTGAGTTTGCCCTCCTCCCTGGACACTGCCTGGGCCCTGGAGCCCCGACTACCCACCTTATCCAGTCTTGGGGTTTCAGGGGGGTTGGGGAGGAAGCCCTTGCCCTTTGGGGGCTCCACTGACCCCGGTCCTGCCTTGGCAGCAATTCCACGAGGCAGCGTACCTGGCAGATGAACGGGAAGACCTGCTAACAGCCATCAACTCCTTTCTGGACTGCAGCGTGGTGCTGCCGCCCTCCGAGGTGCAAGGCGAGGAGCTGCTGCGCTCGGTGGCTCACTTCCAGCGCCAGATGCTGAAGAAGCGGGAGGAGCAGGGCCGGCTGCTGCCCCCCAGGGCTGGGCTGGAGCCCAAGTCAGCCCAGGACAAGGGTACGGGCCGGCACGGGGCCTGGGGTTGGCACAAGTGCCGCAGGGTTGGTGCAGGGGGGCCTTGCCTCGGGGGTGGGGTGAGGGGTGGGCGGGAGAAGCATCTGCCAAGTCCCTGATGGAAGCCTGGATTGCAGCGCTCCTGCAGATGGTAGAAGCAGCGGGCACAGCCGAAGACGATCCCCTTCGGCGCACAGGCCGGCCCTTCGGGGGCTTGATCCGTGACATTCGCCGCCGCTATCCCCACTACCTGAGTGACTTTCGAGACGCCCTCGACCCCCAGTGCCTGGCAGCTGTTATCTTCATCTACTTTGCCGCCCTGTCTCCTGCTATCACCTTTGGTGGACTGCTGGGTATGGGGGAGCGGCTTTGAGGGGGCGGGAGGATGGGCCAGAGACGGACTCAGGCTGACAGACTCCGGGCGGGTTCTGCCCTCCAGGAGAGAAGACCCAGGACCTGATAGGGGTGTCGGAGCTGATCATGTCCACGGCGCTCCAGGGGGTGATATTCTGCCTGCTGGGTGCACAGCCGCTCCTGGTGATTGGCTTCTCAGGGCCCCTGCTGGTCTTTGAGGAAGCCTTCTTCACGGTAAGGGCCCAGCAAGGGGTCCAGAGGCTGCTCCCGGTGGGATGCCCCTCTGCCCCGTGGCTCTGACCTGACCGGACCCTCCTGCGCCCCAGTTCTGTCACAGCAATAACTTGGAGTACCTGGTGGGCCGCGTGTGGATCGGCTTCTGGCTGGTGCTTCTGGCCTTGCTCATGGTGGCTCTGGAGGGCAGCTTCCTGGTGCGCTTTGTCTCCCGATTCACCCAGGAGATCTTCGCCTTCCTCATCTCCCTCATCTTCATCTACGAGACCTTCTACAAACTGGTGAAGGTGGGCAGGCTCTGCTGAGCACTGGGCGGGGCTTCAGGACCAGAAGGAGCCAGGTGGAATCCTGTCCCTTCTGCCCAGATTTGAGGCCAGGGCTTCACATGGAACTCCAGAGGAAGGATTTTTCTTCCTCTTGCCCCTCCACCACCTCCTTCCCCGTCTCCTACACACACACACACACACACACACACAGGCTTCAGGTCAATCATTCAAAACGTAATCATTTTAATACCATGGGTTTTCATGACATTCTTGTGTCAAATGCCACTCTGTACAGAAGTACCAAGAGAGCAAGGCCCTGATGCCCATTGTCACAATTGGGTATGACACAACCACGTCTGTTTGATGGGTCTTCAAGGAGACCCGCCACCCGAGCCAGGAGTCCTGCTTCTTTCTTCAGAATCTCCCTGGAGTCACACTGCCCTACTGCCTTCCTGAAGCAGGCTACGCCCCCGACCCCTTTCCCTCTTAGCTCTAGTCAGTTGGCAATGCCCAGAGCCCCATCAGGCTCTGTGGCCCGGCGGCCCGGCTGCTCTCTTCCCCACTCCTGGGGCCCAGCTGAGTGAAGACCTGGGCTCCCTGACCGAGGCTCTCATGGTCGTCTTGTCCCCTCCGCAGATCTTTCAGGAACACCCACTCCATGGCTGCTCCATCTCTAACAGTTCAGAGGCCAGTGGTGGTGGTGAAAATCAGACGGAGGCAGATGTAGTGCTGGGGCCGGGGAACGGGAGCTCAGCCTGGCAGCCTGGGCAGGACAGACCCAAGGACCAGCCCAACACAGCCCTGCTGTCACTGGTGCTCATGGCCGGCACCTTCTTCATTGCCTTCTTCCTGCGCAAATTCAAGAACAGCCGGTTCTTCCCTGGCCGGGTGTGTGGGCTGGAAAGCTGAAGGGCGTGTGGGGGAGGGTGCCAAGGGGTGGGCCAAGAAAGTCCGGGGCGGCCGGCCTCTGAGCATCCTTGCTGCTCTCAGATCCGGCGGGTGATTGGTGACTTCGGCGTGCCCATTGCCATCCTCATCATGGTGCTCGTGGATTACAGTATTGAGGACACCTACACACAGGTGAGGGAGGCCGAGCCAGGTAGCCAGTGGGGAGTGCTGCCTGAGACTGGACTGCCACTGCTGCCACCCCAACCCAGAGCCTCTTGTGAAGCTAGAGGCTAGGTGGACACCGAGCTTGTGCCTGGGACGCCCTCGGCACTGTCTGTGCCCACCCCACCCTCCCACCCCTATCTGCCCTCCCTTCTGCAGAAGCTGAGTGTGCCCAGCGGGTTCTCGGTCACAGCCCCAGAGAAACGGGGCTGGGTCATCAACCCCCTGGGGGAGTCGAACCCATTCCCCGTGTGGATGATGGTGGCCAGCCTGCTGCCTGCCATCCTGGTCTTCATCCTCATCTTCATGGAGACTCAGATCACCACGTGAGTGCTCCTGTGGACAGCCAGGGTAGGGGGGCTGGGCGGAAGGAGAATAGCTGGGGTTGTGAAAAGGGAGGGAGCCGCAGGCCAGGCTGTGGGACCCGGCCTTGGACGATGAGCTGCCGAAGCTGAATGGACCTCAGAGGGCCTTGGGTGCAGGCTGGCTGCTGGCGGGACGGTGTCAGCCTGTGTAAAGTCCCTCTGCGTATGTGAGTGTCGGAAGCACAAGGTGGAACCTGAGTGGCCGGCCTGGCAGTGCCTGCTGGAGCTGTGTGCTCTGAGGGTGCGAATCCTCTGGTCCGGGGTAGGGAAGTCGGACAGGGTGACTGGCTGGAGTGCTGGGGAGACAAGGTGGCCTGCTGAGCCAGCCGCGCACACAAGTCCAAGTGAGCTCTCTCGCCTCCAGACTGATCATCTCCAAGAAGGAGCGGATGCTACAGAAGGGCTCTGGCTTTCACCTGGACCTGCTGCTCATTGTGGCCATGGGCGGCATCTGTGCCCTCTTTGGCTTGCCCTGGCTGGCTGCTGCCACCGTCCGCTCTGTCACACATGCCAACGCACTCACTGTCATGAGCAAGGCTGTGGCGCCTGGGGATAAGCCCAAGATCCAGGAGGTCAAGGAGCAGCGAGTGACAGGACTGCTGGTTGCCCTGCTTGTGGGTACGTGCCCCTCTTGCCTACTTTTCCCAGCAGAGGCCCTGGCAGGAGGGGCATCCCGAGCCAACCGCTTCTCTTTGTCTCTCAGGCCTCTCCATAGTGATTGGAGACCTGCTTCGGCAAATCCCATTGGCTGTACTCTTTGGGATCTTCCTGTACATGGGCGTTACCTCCCTTAATGGGATCCAGTTCTATGAGCGGATGTACCTGCTGCTCATGCCGCCCAAACACCACCCAGATGTCACCTATGTCAAGAAGGTAAGACCCCTTCCCCAAGGACACCCCCCCTGCCACGCCCCAGGCCTCTGCCCAGCCTAGTTTACTAGTGTAGCCCAGCAGCCTAGGCTCTGGCAAGCACCCACAGGTGCCTCCTTCACCACCTCCAGGAACTGGGGCTGGAGGCTCCTATAGAAACCTGAACTCATCAGTCTCCCCTGCATCCTATCACCAGGTCCGGACCCTCCGTATGCACCTGTTCACAGCCCTGCAGCTGCTCTGCCTGGCCCTGCTCTGGGCTGTCATGTCCACAGCGGCCTCCCTCGCCTTCCCCTTCATCCTCATCCTCACAGTGCCACTCCGCATGGTGGTGCTCACCCGCATCTTCACCGAGCGAGAGATGAAATGTGTAAGGATATCCCCTGGCCCCGCTTGTGCCCTCCTTTCCCACAGTGCCCAGAGAGTCCTGACACCCATCCTCTTCTCCCACAGCTGGATGCGAATGAGGCCGAGCCGGTGCTTGATGAGCGGGAGGGTGTGGATGAATACAACGAGATGCCCATGCCTGTGTAGTCGCTGGTTGGAAGGATCAGCCCGAGCGAGAGATGGAGAGAGGGACCAGGGGATTGCCACCCAATCCTTCCTCATTTTTATTTAAGTGAATAATTTAAAGTCCTCACCCCTGCAGTAAAGTGCTTCGGCCCTGGCTTCTTTGTCTTTGTGTGAGGTGGGGCGTGGGTATGGGTTATGTGTGAAAGAGTTGGCGCATGGGGAACCCGCTCCCTCCCTGTCCCAGAAACCAGGTGAGCAATGGGGAAGGAGAGGGGCTTTAATGAGAACCAAAATTGAGGGGAGCCAAAGTGCAAACTGTCTGCCTTCCACTGGAGTGGGGTGGGGGGGGCCCTCAGCCCCCTTCAGGCCCCCAGCGGAGGCCCATGGCCTGGAGCTTGTGCCTCAGGTAGTTCTTCAGCTGGGGCAGGCCTCTCTGTGACTCCAGTTCCTCAAAGGGCAGCTGTGGGGAGAGGCAAGGTGACCAAGGAGGCCTTAGGAGCCAGCCGAGCATCACGCAGGGCAAGGCATCTCTTACCGGCAGGAGCTGGTAGCCCATCAGACCAAGGTGTCTCTCCCTCAGGGCCCTGGAGCCCAGCAGCACCCTGCCATCCCGGCAGTAGTGCCAGCGCTCCCGCAGCATCAGCACCACCCTGGAGTGGGGAGGAGGTCAGGGTCTGCATGCCCCGAAGGACAGCCAGCCCCTCCTGCCCTGCTTCCCTTACCTTTGGGTAGGGTCTTGGGTAGTAGGGTTCAAGGCTGCCTGACCCTGAGGACAGGACCTTGGTGGATACGGTAAGAAAGGGTCCTGGGTCCTCACAGGAAGCACAGCTCCATTACTGCTTACACATAGCAGGAAGTCTGCAGAGGGTGAGAGGGACCACCACTCCGTAGAGCCCCAACCACTGCCCCACCACTCCCCCGTCTGCAGCGCACCCGTGCATACCTGTGCAGTAGCCTGGAGGCACAGTCAGGTCCTGGCGGTACTTCTCCTCCCCCAGCAGCTGGCGCAGCCCCTCGGCTACTATGTCCTTGTGACTGAGGGGAAAGGGCCCTGATGTGAACAGGCCCAGGTTTTCCCCAAGCTTGGTCTGGGTCTAGCGCTGGGTCTGGGTAAATCCCTTCACTGCCTCAGGCCAATCTTTTTTGTAGGCCGTCTTTGTTAAACAGAGTTCATGGTCCCTTTGGTTTTTCTACTCTTGGGCTCGGGTTGGTCTATCGTCCCCTCCCCCCTCCCCCCCTAAGTGCCCCATCTACCTGTACTTGCAGCGGGCACGGTCGGTGATAAGTGGCTGAGGGAAGATGGGCACTTGCTGCCTTCTGGGAAGGCGGGGACCCCGGTATCCTGGGAGCTCTAGCTCCACGGCTGTGTCGAGCAGGGAGAGGTAGCGGCGCACAATCAGAGCATGAGGCGTGCCTAGGGGGAAGCAGGGGCTGGGCACGCTGGGCTGCAGATCCCCAGCCCTGCTCTCCCATCACAGCCCGTGGCCAGCCAGCTGCCCTGTCTGCATACCACTGATGTGGTTGATGAAACCCGGTGAGAAAACAAAGTGCAGGGCTCTGAAGGGCAGGCACCGCAACTGGCACAGTGACATCAAGATGTTGACCGTGGCCAGGGGGGCCACCCCTGCTTCCCGAGCCAGGATCCTCTCCAGGCAGGGCATGAACTGCTGTTCGAGAGGCAGGTAGTTCAGCCGCCCAAAGGGCAGGACCAACTTCTGTACCACCTGTCGAGGGAAAACAGCTCATTACACAGCTGTGGCAGTGCCCTCAAGCGGATAATGCAGCTGTGACGGCAGAATCCATCCCTCTGCCCCAAACACCCCCCACAAGTTGCTCCGTGTCTTGAGTCCCCTGATGAATCACCCAACAAGCAGAGAGACATCACTATGTGGTCTGACTCTGATAGACTTCAAGGAAGAAGTGAGGTCATGAAGCCAGGATGGTGTTCCAAGTGCTTTGGGAAACGACAAAGCACTGAGCATCCCAGATGCTCATGGGATTGGGCAGGACAGGAGGGAGAGCAAAGGCGGAAGCCCCCGGGTGTCCTGGAGTAAGCTGGACAGTGGGCGGGGCTGGCCTGATGAAGGCTGAGAATAACCACAGTGAGGGTGGGGAGGGGGAGAGGCCATCACACCTTGCTGCTGAGCTGGGCTTCCTGGACCACCAAGAAGTGGGCAATGGCTTCCAGAAGCTGGGGCTCCCGCAATCGGTGCCGGGCCAGGTGTTGGGCCAGGAGCACCATTACGTGAGGAGTTAGTTCCTCTGGCTTTGCCTCTGTGAAGAATAGGTAAGTTCTGACTCAGTTACGTCCAACATCCTTCAACCAGCTATGTTCCCTCTGAGCCAGATGACATCATCACTGTCTCCCCGCTTCCTTGGCCCTGACCCCACCCCCACCTCCCCATCCCATCTGCCTTTAACACCCCCATCCAGCACCTGCCAGGCTACGTATCAGATGCTGCCGTGGATGCCGCAGGAAATGGGGGCAGCTCAAAGCAGCTTCCAACCTCTGCCCACCAGGGAGAGGCTGCGGAGGGGGAGGTGGCTTCTTCGGGGGGAGACGGAACCTTCGCTCCTGCTCCAGGGCACAAACCAGGGGCCCATCTGCCGGAAAGCCTAAGAGGACCAGGAGACATGGTAGTATGTAGTAGTAAGAATGGAGGGCTCCTCTGTTCTAAAAAAGTTGTCTCATTAGTGGATGTCCAGCCTGTCTTATCTCCATGCCCCATCTGCCAAGTTTGCTGGAGTTGACATGGAAACACTGCGGGGACACTATATGAACATACCATGGGACGTAACCTATCACAAGATAAGTGTTTTAACCTGCCCTCATACAAAAGGGCAAGTAAGTTCTCATCTCATGCCAATTCTGACATTTAATAGCTCTGAGAGCTCGACATCAAAGGGAGCCTGGGTGGCACTCGCTGGGCTGGAAAGAATGATGTCCACAAGGAGGAGCAGCAGCTGCTGCCGGCATCCTGTGGAGTATTTGTCATTCGTGGGTAAAGTCTCAAGGATCCCTGGTGGTGTAGTGGCTATTCATTGGGCTGCTAACCACAAGGTCAGCAGTTTAAAACCATCAGCCGGCAGCTCCTCCAGAGAAAGAGGCTTTCTACTCCTACAGAGTTAGTCTCCAAGAAGTTCTACCCTATCTTCTAGGTTTGCAATGAGTCAGCATTGACTTGATGACAGTGGGTTTGTTTTTTTGGGGGGGGTAAAACCCTCCAAGGTCAATTTTGTCTTTATCCTCCACCATTCTCTACTTTCCCATTACCCACCTCCCAGCAAGCTATCCTCCACAAGCCTCTCCTCACCAAGCAAGACGGCGAGGTGCAGACACACATGGATGGTGTGCATGTCAAAGGAGGAGCAGTTTCGAATGATGAGCTGGCTCAGGTCCTGCAGCGTGACCTGCTCCACAGGAGGGGGTTGTGGCCGAGACCCCATGAGCTGACCCAGCCGACGAAGTGCCACGGGATAGTGCTGGGCCCGCACCTTGGTGGGGTTCTGGCCCAGCCATCGAAGTAGCTCCCCAGGGGTCCTTGCCTGTTCCAGAAGCCGCTGCAGCCCCTGAACAGGGCCTGTGTGGGGGCCTCCTCCGGAGGGCCTGTCCCCCCACTTGTTAGGCCCTAGACAGCAGGGCTGTATTGGCGGGAGCAGCAGTAGGCCTGTCAGCCGAGCAGAGGAGGCCTGGGCAGAAAGCAGGACTCGAAGCATGGAGTTGGGCGATGGAGACCCTGAGGGGCGGCCCAGAAAAGGGGGTGAGGCCTTCTCCAAAGGGTAGAAACCTGCTTGCTACTCCTTACCTCCCTCGCCCTCCAGAGATCCTGGAGTCAGAGTGGCCCAGACCTCGGCTCTCGGTGACCTGTTCTGAGTTGGCCCCCACCCCTACCCCCTCCCTTACTCCTTCCACACAACACAGGAGTTCTCAAAGCAGTGCCACCTAGCAAGCCACACGCAAAACTCTGAGGCAAGCAGGCTGGCACCGCCTTCCCATTTCACAGAGGAGGAGACCAGGGGCCCGAGAGAGAAAGAGGCTGCGCCCGAGGTCGTAGAGGGAGCTGGTGGTCGGCCCGCAGGCACACCCTCCGGGACACCTTCCCCTTCACGGAGAGTGGCACCCAGGCATTGCGGGAAGATGCTCTGGTCCGAGCTTCCATGCTAAGCACTCCCTATACCAGCTGTGTGACCTTGGGCAAGTGGCTTCGTCTCTCTGCCCCTGTCCCCTGACCCGTGAAAAGCGAATGCAGCGCCCGCCTGACCCGGCGCCTGGGGAGCCCGAGTGCCCAGCTTTACACTGGCACGGAGTGGGCGATGTCAGCGCCCCCACAGCCCACCCGGACCTCGGAATACCGCGTCACCGGCGCGAACTCGCATTCCGCCCCACTCCCGCGGCCCACCCAGGCAGGCGCCTCCCCTACATGACTCCCCAGGCCCCGCGCAGGTCACTCTCTCAGTTGGTCTCGGGGCCCGGGAACCGGGTTCCCCCCGCGGCCTCCTCATCGGCGGGCCGCCGAGTCCGCCATCTTCCCAGCAGCCCCCGCACCGCCGCCCCGGACGCCAATCCCAGCTAGTCCCCAGACCGCAGAGACGTGGCTCCCGTCGGGCTCTGCGCGCTCGGGCGCCTTCGCCCCGGCTCCGGAAGTGCGCGCCGGCGTTGGGGCGGGGCCAGAGCGAGGGGCGGGGTCAGGGGGCCGGGCGCCGAGAGCGCGGAGACTGGCGGGACCGAGGGAGTCGAGTTGCGGGCCGGGCGGAGGGGACGCCCCGCCAGATCCCGTTCTATCATCCCCTTCATGCCCTTAGTCCTCATGGCGAAGGGCTCCCAGGCCGCCGTGCCCACCGTCGTGGGCCACACACACGCACAGACAGCATGAGTGAAAACTTCACAGTTTTTTAATCTGCACGTGTTCCGGAGAACCCTCTCTGCCCTCCCCACAAGGCTCCCAGTCCGTGGGTCCCCAGGTCAGCCCAAGGAGTCTTCGTCGGGGCCACAGGTTGCCAGCTTCTCAGGCAGAGCGTTAAGACGGGCCCAGGGACGTTGCTCGAGCCTGCCCAAAGTTTAGGGGGCAACAGCAGCTGTCCGGCTTGGAAGGGCCCACTGTCAGCGGGGGCCGAGGGCCAGCAGTTCCAGCAGTGGGCTCAGCACCATGGAGGTCACAGGGACGGGCCTCCACCAGCCTCCGGAGTCCTTGTCGGTGTGGGTCGGGCCTCCAGGCCAGGCAGAAAGGGCAGGGAGGCGAGGCCGGCCTGGGCAGGCAGCAGCTCCCACTGGTGCGCGTCCCAGAGGGGCTGGCAGCATTGCCAAGTGCCCGCGGAAGCCCTACGGCCAGTATATGGCAAAGGCCAGGAGACTGAAGAACAGGGTGAAACCGGCTAAGCCCAGCGTGGCGGTCTGGGGGAAGTAGGGCCGATACTGGATCTGGCAGTACCAGAGCAGCAGCAGCAGCAGAAGCAGCAAGGGCATCAGCAGGCTGCCTATTTCCAGCCCTGAGGGGCCTGGCTCCGACCCCGGTGGGCACGGGGGATGCGGGGGGCTGACCCGTGTGGACACATGACAGTGGAGAACGCAGTTGGGGGGCAAGTGAAGGCTGCCCAGGGTTTGGGAATCGTCTGCAAGAAGTTGCCCTTGGTAGATGAGACGCACCTGTTGCTCCCGGCCAGGAAACTGGGTCCTGAGGAGAGAGGGCCCTGAGTAAGAGAACGGGCCTCTGCCGATCCCAGTCTCTATCCCACAACCACCAGCCTGCCCCTGCCCTCTTCCTCTCCACCCCACCCCCCAGCTCTAGGGCTTAGTGGGTCAGTCTGCTTTCAGGGGACAAGGGCTGAGCTATCAGCAAGATCAGGAGGTAGTCTCTGGTAGCCTTCTCAGGTCTGTGATCACCCCATCCTCTAGCGTTTTACTTCAATCTTCACCTTACCTTTTTAATGAGCCGATGGTGTCCTGGGGCCAGGCCCTGGCCACCTGCTCGGAATCATTGAGGAATTTCAGCCGAAGCATCAGGGGCTCCTGAGGGGGGTCTGGTGGCTGTGCTGTCTCAGGGGAGCCTGTGTTGGGCTCTGGCTGTCCACCTTGCCCTCGGTGTCTCAGGCTGGGGGCCTCGGCTCCAGGAGCTGCTCTTCTGAGGTTCTCAGTGGCTGTCTCGGCTTTGCTGGGCTGTGGTGGAGGTGGGGTCCCTGATGGCTGGGGTAGTGGGTCAGCCCTCTCGGCGGTGGTGTGTGTTGAGACCCAGGCAAGGGCCAGCACCAGGAGGCAGGCCAGCACCGCAAAAAGGATGGTCACCTCATCACCCACCCCTTCAATCAGGGCCATGGCACCCACCTTGCCTGCTGCGCTACCGAGCTGAAGGGGCACAAAGAATCCGTGAGGGGCTGGCTCTCTGGCCTAGAGCCCTCTGAAGTTTAACAGCCTCCTGACCCCACCCCAACTCTCCCATAAGCCCCAATCCGTCTGCCACCTGTATCCAGGGAACAGGCTGCTGGTATTCCGGTTGGCACCAACCTCCCCCAAGGTACCCATTCCCATCACCACATCCCAAATCCTAACTTTGGGTAACCTGAGTTCTAGCGCTTTAACCAGTTCCTTAATTCAAGCAAACCCCATCCCAAGGGAAGGAGGGCCCAGACTTTCTGCATAAACTCCTCCCCTGAGCTCAACTCCCTGGCAAACTTCACTCCAGAGCTGATCTAAATCCTCCCTCTACTTCCAAACGTCACTTCGTAGTTTATCGACTCCTCTACTTCACCCCAAAGCTTTTTTATTCCCTCGTCGCTCAAGCTTCTCCAAGGAGGGGAAAAGCCTCTATCCATTCCCCGTTGGGTCATTCCTAGGACTTCCCCCCGCGTCAAACGTCAAACTCCGCCCTTTGGCACACCGAAGACTCCGTGGTGTGCCACCCATCACCCCTAACAGCTGCTTCCCGACCCAATCCACACCCACCGGGCAGCAGGCCGACTCTGCTCCCTCTGCGAGCTTCCCTAAACCGACCTCACTGCCAGACACCGCCCCGGGAATGCGACACCCTTCCCCCCGCCCCCTCGACACCTCCATCAACCTCCCAACTTCCCGTCCCCGAGCCGCGGAGGCCAAAGCGATCGCGGTACGTGGCGGAACGGGCACCAAACTAGGAGCCAGGGCGGCGGGCAGGCGCGGGCCCGCGCGGTACTCACCGCCGGGCCCCGCCAGCTCCACGTCCGACCTGCGGGCACTTCCGGGCGAAGGCGCGGTGGCTCCAGGCACCTGCAGGCGCCCTCCTCCTCGGACGGCCCGGGGCTTGATGGGAGTTGTAGTCCACGGTCTGGCACAACCCTGCCCTTCTCGCAACGCCCCCTGCCGGCTCCGCAGGCTGCCCCCGTGCCTGCTGG